TACGAAAACTGGTCTGCCTCTCTGTAAAGATGCCAGGGTTTTAGTCTGGGACCCGAGAACCGATCGAACCATACCAGAGATTGCAGGATGAGGGCCAATTTCCAGCGTGGTAGACTGGTCGCCGAGAATGTGGCGAGCGTTTGCTGCTAGAAGTGCCTTTCGCATATTGACGGGTTCTCGAGTATGGCGAGCGAGATAGTCAGGGCCGAAGTTTTCAATGCCGATGGCAATACTTCCGTCCAAGGGACACAACACGGGGATCTTAGCCTCGGAGTAAGTTGCGCCACCGGCTAACTTCTTGAAGTCCTCCAAAATTGGATCAACCTGAGACGAATGGAAAGCGTAGGGAACCTTCAGCAGTGTCGTCTTGAGTCCCGCGTCTGCTAGCAGATTCTTGAATACGGCGATATCCTCATTGATACCAGCCAAGACCGTCTCGGTTGGCGAGTTAATGCAAGCAACTTCGTATGTGCGATTCTTGAGGATGCTCTGGACCGTCTCTACTGATGCCATGACCACCAACATGGAATGGGTGTCTCGTGTGCACTTCTCCTGGAGTAATGTGGCCCTCGATCCCACAAGGTAGATAGTGTCTGCCTCAGATAAAACTCCAGAAACGTTGAGAGCTGCATATTCGCCTAGACTATGCCCAACAACGGCGGTGGGGGTGATATTCCACGATGCCCACAGTTTACTGAGTGCGATTTGCAAACAGACACTAGCCAACTGAACAGCGGCAGGTTTGAAGATGCTGACATCTAGTTCCTTCGATTGGATGACGGGAAGTATGGAGGGAAAGCCGAGGTTGTGACCGATACGATCTAACCTTCTGATTTCGGTACGGAACAGAGAGAAGTTGTCGTAGAGTTCCTTTCCCATGCCGGGGTATTGCGCGCCCTGTCCTGTGAATGCGAAAACAACCTTAGGGGATCCCTTAGGCCTAGTCATTCCTGTTTGATCACGGATAGCTGTCTCGATTTGGACGCATAAGTCCTCCGCAGTCGAGCCAGTAAGCATTACACGATGCTGGTGGTGAATACGTCGCGCCGTTGTGGTGTACGAGAGCTGGCCGGGGTTGACACTTGGGTTATGCTCTAAGAACTTGAGTAAAGACTTTAGATTACCTTGCAAGGAGACGCCATTCTTAGCCGATACAGCCACAAGGTGTTGGTTTCGCGTATCAGAGACTTCATTAGTCGACTCGGGGATATATGGCGCGTCTTCGATCAACAAGGCCGTGTTCCCGCCCGCAGCGCTGAAGTTGTTCACAAATGCTCGTCGGGGCTTTGAGGGATCAGAACTCCTTTCCCAAGGTGTCGGCTTTAAAGCGATATGGACATTCCGCTCGTTTAGATCCGTCGGAAACTTGTGGTTTATCTTTGTCTTGATGCCACAGTGCGGTACTATCATATTCTTCTGCATCATCAGCAACACCTTGGTAAGACTTGCCATACCAGATGCAGCTTCGCCGTGGCCGACATTTGCCTTGGCAGAACCCAAGAAGAGAGCCTCGTTACTGCTTCGGCCGGTCTTCACTTGAGCGAGAGGAGGGGCAAAGGTATCTAAAACACTGGACATTTCTCCGGCATCGCCCGCTTGCGTACCTGTTCCATGCATCTCGACATATCCGATAGAATAGGGGTCGACGGCGCCTTGGTTTAGGATCTTGTTGAATATGGCACGCTGAGCTCCAACGTGTGGCCGTGTAATAGACTCTGATTCGGCCGAGTGATTCGTGTAAGCCCCCAAGATCAATCCCAAGATGGGATCCTTGTCGGCGATAGCATCATCAAGGCGTTTGATGATGATCGTACCGACGCCTTCTCCTCGACAGTATCCATCAGCTGAGTCGTCGAAGGTCTTGCAATTGCCCGTTCGTGAGAGGAAGTGTCCCTTATCAAGACCAGCCGTCATGTCCGGGTTGGTCAAGACATTAGTACCGCCCGCGATAGCCGTATCGATGTCTCCTCTCCAGAGAGAATTGCAGGCGAGATGAATGCCGGCAAGACTGGATGAGCACGCCGTATTAACCGCATAACTCGGGCCGCTAAACTTGAAAAAGTAGTTTACGCGTCCCGGGATGAACGCTTGGTTTCCGCCTGGGATAAAATACGTGTCCACATTCTGAGCGCTGTTCGTTTCCATCCAGTCCATACTAGTCACGCCATAGAAGACGCCAACGCGATCGCGTCGTGTTGATGGTGTGGCGTCTGGAACGATACCGGCTTGTTCGATTGCTTCGTAAGCCGTCATCAGGGCAAGCCTCTGTGCAGGGTCGATTTGTGGCGCTTCTCGGGGCGAGATGTTGAAGAAGCGCGCATCGAACCCGGCAGGGTCGTCAAGCCAACAGCCAAATGCCGTTGCGCTCGTGTTCTTCCCCTTTCCTGTAGGGTCGACGTGAGTTCTAGCATCCCAGTGAAAGTCTGGCACGGGCTTGTGAACATCTAGACCCTGGTAAAGAAGGTCCCAGAATGCTTCGTTGTCTTGGGCGCCAGGGAATCTGCCTGATAACCCGATTATGGCTAACTTGGGCTTTCCGGGACTAGCATACGAATTACCCTGAGTAACGGACGGTTGGCTCTGTGTTGGTGTATGTGTTAATAGCAAGGAGCGTAGAGACGTCTGCTTAAGAGCTGTGTAAATCAGCTGATCGGCTTTCGTCCCAATTGGAACAATATTGAATGACTCGGGTTGCTCTCTCCGGAGACAAGCTTGCAGTTCTTCGAGGATGTCGTTCCAACGAATAGGCTGCAGCAGTATTTGGCTGACTGCAGACTTCAGGAGCGTCCCAAAGCTGCTGCTCTCCTCTGCTCTCCCAGTGCTAGAGAAGACGGTAATGTGGCTAGAGCGTGAATCGGTGACGCCGGAACTCAGGCTCTCGACAATTTCATCGACGTCGTCTGAAGAGTATAGATGCGAAGCATGGTAAGGTCCGAAGATTTTAATACCTTTCATCCCTGAATTATGTAAAATTCCCGAGCGAGTAAGTAGATCGAGCGAGCGAGGCGGGCCGCTAACAGTGATGCCATTTGGAGCATAGGCGCTGACGTACGGCCTGGCAGATAGGGGTAACGTCTAACGTAACAAAGAGGTAAGTATCAAACTGTTATGGTTTCGATATGGAACAATTATTCTTACCGTTTGATCGCAAAATCTTCGGACGGCATCAGCAGAGGCAGAACCGGGAACAATAATTGACCAGCTTGGATCTGACGAATCTGAGGACTGGAGTCTCTGTGCCATATCAGTTACGTGCATGCCTGTTCTAAAAGCCACAACCACTGCGTCAACAGCTACAGGGATGAGCTCGAGTGTGTTACGACTACAGCCAACTGCTGCTGCTGCTAAAGCTCCCGTGCAGAGACCCAGAACATGGGAATTGTTGGCGTGGAAATCCCACGTGTCAGCCTGGCTGCATATATGATTTAGTATGTAGTACTACAGCGTAGGTAACGTATGTTGACGTATGTCTTACCTGATAAAAACGCCGAGCTGGTACATGCATGTTACGGCCATGTCTAAGGCTATGCATCTTTTTCCATCTTGCTTCCACAGGACGAGATCGTCCAAGCAGGTGAACCGAGGGAGATCATCCCTGATTTCAGCTGGAAGCTTGTATATCTCTGTGCGGATAGCGTCGTATACTTTGACCAGAAAGTCTTCCAAGACTGGGTTGTGCCTGTATAGCATCAACTCCCTCAAGTGCGGTTGTATGTCGTATGTCTGATCTCCAAAGAGATACAATTTGATTTGGTCAACCATTTTGATGTTGATAATACGACTTGGAGGTAGGTATGTGTCGGTGATTTGGCTGTTGCTGTAGAATGTAGACTAAAGACTTCTCTATATAAAAAAGATGTCCGAGGTCTACATATATAGGTGTACCTAAGGTATATAGAAATATCTACTATGCCTCTCTTTGATACTATGAATATTATCACATCATGACACTAACCATGTCTTCCCTAGTTGAGGCCCGTTCAGCCTTATCTCCTCAGCTCCCTTTGCCTTGCCAAGCTAGCAGAGACCGTATTCGGGCATACTCGAGTTGGTGATTTGTGACATAAGCAGCCACAAGCTTCCACTGAGGATTGAGTATCTAGACCCATCTCGGTGCCGGGAATCCTCCGGGAGATCTAAAGTAATCGTCGGGGCTTATTCAAGAGATCTCGGGAGGTTTTATTAGATAGATAGGGTTGTTAAGGTGTTGTTTCGCCTTTGCCGTGATATGTCAATGGTTCTATTCCATTTGCACTGCCGGCCAATCGTAGCACCAAGACTCTCCAGTCCAATAAGCTGAAACGAGAATATGCCGACCTTTTTTGGAACATACGAACCGGTGAGACAGTGAGTAATCTTTACCGGTAGGGCGAGAAGCACGTGTTATCTGAAATAATTAGTTCGTTGCTGAGCCTCAACCTTGCGAGACAACGTACCTCCTGTGTGGGAGTTAGGTATATGCAAAGGACACGGGATTGTGCGTTTTAAACGTCAAAATAAATATCATCTCAGTATTTTATTCTTCTATGAAGATGCTATTCCCCGTTATTCATAGTCGGTCGAAATATTCTAAATCATGTTCGGTTAGGTATAGTAAATATCAAAAATACAACTATAGTTCGAAATATTTGTCCATTTCAAAAAATATCTAGCTAGTATACTACTCGGAATACCCCCTTTTCCATACCAAGAGGAACCATACGTCGTAGGTGCATGCTGTTGTGCAAGGGTGCCACGATAAGGCGCTCCTCGAACATTCACCAATCCGCATCATGCAGTAATATGGTGCTCCAAGAGGCGTTCAGGACAGCGGTAAAATGGCGGAAGTAAGCGATAAGCTTACCAATGCATAGAAATAGTCGAAGGAACCGTAAGAAGACCTATCCTGTGTAACCGTCAGTAGCGCCACGACGTGAGTCCGTTGCCTTGGGAAAAAACAAAATTACTCCGAGTTAGCTATTTCGCATCTTATCTAACAGAAGTCCCTCTCGCATGAACGGGGGTTCGCAGACATGCAGGTTCGCGATGGCTTGAAATCTAGTGAACCAGTCTACTTTGAGTCTTTGACAAATCTCTTTTGATAATATCCCCTTTATCTATCCTTTTCTGACATCCAAACGTGGAAGTTTACGTCTACTCATTTTACTAATGATGATTAATAACCCCCCACGAACTTCCCGGCAACCCAAGCTACGATCCAGTTGCGATGGGTGCGGCTCTGCAAAGCTCAAATGCGATCGAGGCCAGCCTGAGTGTGGACGATGTATATCTCTTGGCATTACTTGTGTCTATGGGGTCTCGCGGAAAATGGGTAAACCACCAAGAGAAAGGCTGCATATTCCAGCCATGCTAGGCGGACCTCGCACAGCAGCAGAGCACAACAGCAATGGAAAGGAGGGTGGATCCGACGACAGTAGTTACAACCGTCGTGCAGGTAGTTCCATTAGTGACACTATCTTGCCGAGGACCAGTTCGAGTTCGAGTATCAATGATATACGCTCGACTTGGGGGGCGGTTGAGGAATACTCCAACAATTCTATGACGACGAGGGTTAACATGCTGGATGAATTCCGTAACGACCAATTAGGGCCATCATTAACGAATTTCTCATCTTTGGATACGAACGAATGGGTTTTGACGAACATCATAGGGGATGAACTCTCATCAACTAATCTAGAGACCGAACCATTCCCCGCCTTGGGATGGCCTGACCTTGAAAGTTCCCCGGCTTCAACAGGGCAAACGACGGGGGCTCAAACCCCGGCAGATGACAGAATATATCTAGACAGCCCCTTTATGCAGCATGACGACATCAAGCATCATGATTGCTCCCAGGAAGCGTATGGAATTATGAATAGTTTATCTTCCCTGAATATCAGCAAAGCCTACTCTAGAATTACACCACCACCAGGCACAACAACTAACTCCATAAATTGCGTTCCCCTCGATTTTATATTACAACTTAACCGCGAAGCCATCGAGCGGTTGGGTCGCTTGTTGAGCTGTTCTTGTGCCAACTACTCTCATCTCGCATTTCTTTACGCCTCGATTATCGGACGGATTCTGCATTTGTATAGCCAAGAGGCAGGATGCCTTAAAACATCCTCACTAGGTCTTACACCAAATCCGACAATACGGCATGGTATGTCACCTTCTTGCTCTTCTGCTGGATCTATGTGCAGGTCACCGTCGTCTTGGCTAAGCGCAGGAGCTGGCACTGCGAACACAAGCGTTAGCGGCTCGAGCACACCATCAGGCAAGCGAAATACCACAACAGATCTCGCTCCTACACAGATGACTATGGGCTGCTTTAGCATCGACGACAAGTTAGTGCAGGCCGCCTTAAGAATTCAGCTGTTATTAGGCGAGATGAAAAGGGTCGGATTTCTTATTGACGTATTTACGTCTCGAAGTTCTAACGGTGCTGACGAATCTACTTCGGGGAATATAGATGATCTGTATAAAAGCTTGGGTTCATGGCTAGGAAAGGAGCACTTGAGAATAGTCGAGATGATGAGAGTAAGATTAAGAGATATCAGCATCTAGATAAGTCCAATGTACGATAGATCGTAGGTATCAATGATGAGCGTTTACAAAGCTTACTGTTTATCTAAAAAGCCTTTGAGGAAAGTTTTTATAAGATGATTGATTCTCCGAATCCATGATCCTTTCACTGCCCGATAGTCTTAATTGTTAATGCATAATTACCTAAGGGATATTACTGTAATAGTTGACTCGACGTATTTTTTCAGCAATTTTGACATCATGGAATAATTCTTCAACTTTTCGTTAGTGTGTCTTAACTTCACGAAGCAACTAAATTTGTAACAGCCCCAATTTCCAACTCATTATTAATTCTAACTATGATCTTGAGTCTTAGCATCTCTCATTTAGAATCTGACAAGGGGCAAGTGGAAGTAGGCAACCCAGGGCTAAACTAGGTAGTTAGATCTGAGTCCCATCTCAGATCTTTCCGGGCTTGATAAGGGATGGCCTAGGTGAATACGGTTCTTGGCCCCCATACGTAAATCCGTATAGTTACGTGGTCCAAGCGGCAACGGTTAATTCCGCCACACAACCTCATAAAAGGGGATTCGTACCTATCGTATTTCCTTTTCTCCTGCGGCTGGAATTCGAAGCACTTATCACTTGCAGTAGTGTGCGGCTGTTCCTTCATTTATTCCTTCGAAGTCATGCTTGATTTTAGTGTCCGTTGGCGTAACCCATGGTGGCTTAATTCTCTGCATATACCGTTATAAGCCACCTCGGGTCAGCAAGCCGCATGATGACATTACGAACATTCTTTTAAGCCAATAGTGTTTTACTTTTGATACCCGAGTACTCGCTACCTTGGCGGACTTAAAGAAGTTCGCTCCCGAATGCTTGCTTCGACGCGTATTATAATGTACCTACGTTAAACTCGCGTATGAATATCCCCTAACGGTGGTGCCAGATATCTTCCTAAGTGCGGTTACACAACACGAAGCAAGAGAATTCATCAGAGAGCAAGATGGATATAAGCTGCATCATCCATATTTTCCAGTTATTGACCCCCATCCTTCTTATGACTATAGATCTGTAATTAGTAATAAGGGGCAACTATACCCACATCAGATGATGATCACGGGAGTAGGACACAGAATTAACTGACGGCCAAAAATAAATTTAACATGAAATAGTTAGGATAAGGATGATGTGTACCTTGGTACCGAGGTAGATACGACAAATTTCACTGTGATCCTCTTCTCAAGGCTGATGATTATTGAATTAGCACCAACCCCTTTATACCCCATTGAATCTAGGTATAGGTAGAGAACTTCAAATTTCTTGACTGCAAGATTTTGCTCAATACACAATGCCAAGCACGTAATTAACACGAGAATTTGTTTCTTTAGGCCAAGAAAACCCTGACGATACCCGGTCTCAACTTGTTCCTAGGCGAAGATAGTAGTCAGACAATTTGGTGGCGTATGGGGAAAGAAGTAAAACCAGTCAAACAACAAAGATATGAGATGCACGTAGATCAATGATACAGAAAAGATCTTGTGGTAAGCAGAATTGGCGCAGTACCTACCTCTACGATGACAAAATATGACATGAAATAACTCAGCCCTATACGCGTAGCACACGAGAAAGGTGTGATCGGCCTTTGAAGCAGGCATCTCCCTGCCTCTCTATCCCCTCCCTAGTATTTCACCGTACCTCCACCAATAGGAAATTTTGTAAGTAGCTGAGGCTCTTAAATATCCGATAGCAGATCTCGTGATAGCCGACCGGACCGTGTCGGGCGTCGGGCGAATATAGATTCGTTCAAGTCCTGCAGGCTGCAGCTCTTAGCCCAGCTCGGTGAAGTCGTCGACCGTCTTTTGTATTTATTATCATCCATACATTCCGCCTTGGCTTTAAGCCACACCGAGGTGAAGCCGGACGCACGGAGAATCTTTAGCTGTTTTCGCTTCCCGCCTCGGGTGCCGAGACGGAGTTTAATTATCATAAGACTTATATCGAACCAATGAGAAAGCGGGACGAGATGTGATCTAGTCAGCCAGCCTACAGCCCTTTGAATTGTTTTCAAGTTCTTGAACAAAGCTTATCTCCTAAGCTCCGAGTAGGTTGTAATATCCTTTACTATTATGTATTATTCCACAGAATACATCCAATTAGAACTTAACAAAGACTTACTATTTGGAAATAATGCAGGAAACCCTAGCTAAACGGAACCTAAGATGCATGTACCGCTCTCTATTCGCACCTTAGGAGATAATTCTCGCGAGGCAGGCGTCATAAAGTACAGCTTGGCATATATGATGAAGGTGGCTGTGAGTTCCGATCTACTGGCGCTTCTTAGTATATCAACTCAATGTAAATAGCCTTCAAGTAATCCGTAATTAGTTTATATTCTTCATTCATACTTCATATCTATTAAATTCGAACTCCCCAAAAGTCGACTTACATGGGCCTCTAAATAATTTATAGGAAAGAACATGAGTTCGGCACTTGTATATCCGAGGGATTCAACGGTCACTATGACTAACGTCCTCACCCTATACCATACACATAAGCTTCTTTTCTTAGCAAGCCTTGCCGCCGTGGCGTGTTTGGTGGCATGGCTTCGCCGAGATAGACGTCTTGAAAAAATGCCGGGGCCTAGCGGAAACCCGTTAATTGGAATTGGCACAAGCTTACCTCCCAAGGCGCATATTCGCTTTCGAGAATGGGCCGCTACGTATGGCGATGTTTTCAAGTTGAAAGTGGGCTGGTATAATTGGGTGATCATCAATAGCCCGGAAGCGATACACGAAATCCTAATTAAACAGGTAATAAATTAGAAGAACATAGAACGTTATATACTGAAAAACTAACGTTTATCCACTTAGTCCTCAAGTACTTCATCTAAAATGCCTGCTCCTATTGGACACGATGTAGTCGCTGGTGGGATGAGGATGTTTACCTTGCCGTACGGAAGCAAGTGGCGCGCCTTTCGTACCATCTCGCACCAGCTTCTCTCAAGTACAATGACAGCCACATTTATCCCATCTCAGGAGTACGAGGCAAAGCAGCTACTCTTCGACTTGGCCACGGATCAGAACGACTTTCTCATGCATGTACGCCGCTTCGCCTTTAGCATCATGCTGACAAGTACCTACGGCTTACGTGTAAAGACGTGGGATGATGAGGACGTACATCACGCCTTGGAGAGCGCCCGCATTCTTGGTAAAATAACGCATGCGGGTGTATTCATCGTTGATGAACTGCCCATCTTGGCAAAACTTCCTACGTGGTTGCAGCCGGGGAGAAAGAGGGCAGAGGGTTACGCAAAGCCGCTGCTTGATGCTAAGATGATACTCTGGCGAAGATTACAGGACCAGGTTGCCGCCGGAAAAGCACCGGTGTGTCACGCACGCGAGATGATGGAAAACGACGACTCGTGGCGGAAACAGGGGCTTACAGACGAAGATGCGGCTTGGGTTGCTGGCGGTAACGTCGAGGCAGGATCAACGACAACATCAGTTACGCTGTTGAGCTTGCTATTACACCTCGCAGCAAGCCCCGACGTCCAGAAAACCGCCCACGACGAGCTTATGCGCGTCGTGGGACCTGATCGTACCCCTATCTTCGATGACATAAAAAACCTCCCCTACATCCGCGCCTGTGTTAAGGAAGTTCTGCGCATGCACCCTACACCTTTCTGGGGAATTAAGCATTACGCTGATGCCGACGTTACTTACAAGGACTATGTTATTCCCAAAGGTACTATACTGCTGGCCAACACGAGTACCATCCACTACGATCCATCTCGTTACGAAGACCCGTTCACATTCCGCCCCGAGCGTTACCTCGGTCACCCCAAGTACAGTGCCGACTACGCTAACCAAAGCGACCCGTACAAACGAGACCACTTCACCTTTGGCGTAGGACGACGTATCTGCCCAGGCTCCCGCCTCGCCGAGAATTCTCTTAACATCGCGCTGTCAAATATTCTATGGGCGTTTGAAATCCTCCCGCCCGTAGTCGACGGCGTCGAGGCCAAGATGGACCTAAGCGACGACGCCTGGGAGGACACGAGTTTCCGCGGGCCGAAACCCTTTAAGGCTCGGTTCGTGCCGCGTGCCGAACATAGATCGAAGCTTGTCCAGGACCAGTGGCAGCAGGCTATGAAGGAAGGATATGTGCTCAGGGGTAACAACGTGGATGTCGATAGTGTTGTGACATATTAACGGCGTAATTATGGGCTGTTATTGGGTCCATTGATCTGGAATTCAATAAGCAGCATGATGTATAGCGAACAAAAATTTTAGATATATTGTTAAAATAATTTACTTTATACCAGTTAAACCCGGTTTATTTAGCCCTTTAAAAGATGCATACGGACCAACAAATACGCTCACCGGCGAATCTTAACCCCGGAGCCTTGGTATAGCCTTATTAACTTACATCTTACGTTACAGTCAGCGAATCTTCCCATCTCGAACATCATAACTCTCGATCTTCGGAATTACACTGCTTGGAGAATGGGGTATCCGCATTTCGCACCAACACTCCTTTGGAACCTCCCTCTCACAAGCGAGCTAGGCGTAAAGAAACCAGTAAATATCTTTGCATTCTCCCCAGACGATAGGTTCCTTCTTACTCTACATGAAAATGAAGGCGGTATATTAGTAAGTTCTTCCCAGAGAATAGGTTTGAATCCGTACATGAACAGTGGGTGGTATAGTCCATAAGTAATGCTTATTCCACAGCTTCAGAATTCTATGTTATTCGCCTATTAAGGAATGCTAATTATATACCGTAGTGGGATCTTGCTGCTACTTCTTTGCCTCGAAAGCTCGAATTCGGTCAGGATAATACTGGCTCAAAACATCCTATCAGGGCTGCTGCACTAGACGGAAACGGAGGACTCATAATAGCTTTTGGTCTCGCCCATCTCGCTGAATATTATAATATTCCTAAGGATGGCAAAACATTGAAATTGTCAGAGTATGTTATTCCAGCGGCAAACGACGTCAAAGTTTCAAGAGACGGCGAGATATTCGCGCTCACGACGGGGACTACCGTAGAGCTATGGGATGCACATAGCTTTCAGAGGGTTAGAATTTTCGAACCCAATGTTGAAAACCCAAACCCGTTTGAAAAGGTCGCACTCTCTCAGAACAATAAATATGTCGCAGCAGTCAATTCTGAAGGACGATTCTTCGTGTGGGGTCTGGACAATGATTTCCACAAGGTCTCGCGGAATAAAGAGGTCGGCATAGACCTAGAGCAAGGATGGATTCCGACGAGTATCGGCTTAGGTGAACGGAGTTTCGTAATGGCTACCCTAAAAAAGCGAACGACCTCGGGCCAGGACACCTGGATGTTCATATCGTGGGGTTATAAATACGAAGGGCCTGATAATACGCTATACGCGAGAGAATGTCCAAGCTACCCACTAACTTGCGTTGCGCCCAGCACCGAGTTCACCGTTTCTCTGACCCATGAGGGTTATTTGAGAGGGAGTGATAGCATGTTCTGGCCGCTATTCTCGACCGATCAGGGAGCTAGTAAGAAAGGCAAGGTGGTATCGTGTGGAATATCGGAGAGTAGTAAACTCTTCGCCGCTGCTAGAAGCAATGGTCGTGTAGCTGTATGGAGATTATATACTAAAGATGCTGATCCTAACGAGCGATATCCGGGGTAAAGCTGTTAGGGATGTTGCTATACGTATCCAACCATTGATGGTTTTCATGATACCATACAGTTAGCCATTGTATATTTTAAGACTCGTGTTTGTAAGATATGCCGCCTAGGAGGTACCCAAAGCTGAATTACTGATGTACATAAGAGTTCTTTGTCTGGGCGTCTTAGTGAGCTAGAGACCTGATGATCCATATTATTATCTGTAGGTTAAGTCCATTGGGTTTGCCACCGTAATCGTCTATTTGACCCATGATATGGTCTTTGCAACATTAGGGAACACATCCATGACGATGATTCTGGTTCTACTGCCCTTCAATAGATGATTGTACTCTAGAATTGTGAGTTTGAGGGGTTTGTCAAGCTGCCAAGTGCAAAACCCTTTCATGACAACGAATAAGACAAATTCACATGAGACTTATGTGGTAAATTAGCAGGTAATATTTTCAACCTTAGCTTCATGGCACTGGTTGTTTCATTTATATTAATTGATAGCATACTACGTACAATCTAAATATTCAGCAGGTTTCACCGTCAGTAAAACCGTTGCGTCCGGGCAAGCATATAGACAAACACGTTTACTACCTAGCTTGTAAGAGGTACTGAGTAATCAAGAGTACTTGTAGTTTGTAGTAGCAAAACTAGGAGCCAAAAGATGATGGCTAGCTCAAGAGCGTCTTATATAATAGGTACCTAGGTAGTAAGGCCGTCAGAAGGAAAGCTGCCGCCATGTATTATTCATTCTTGGCTCTAGATGAATTATCCGCGAGGAACTTTTCGTAACCCCATCTGATTTTCTTCTTAGAATTGCCTTGCCTTCATCAACAGCTTAAGGAATTTCTAAATCACGCCACATCGCAAAGGAAGCATTTCTACTACGGCGTATTGGGACCTCTACTAGAACCTACATCAGAGGTATAATTGTATCATCTCGTCCATATGTCGTATCGAAATCAAGGACGGAGCCAACAGTCACATCGTGGCCAGAGTCAGGGTCGTGGTCGTGGTCGTGGTCAAAGTCGGGACCGGAGCCAAGAGCAGAATCCGGGCCAAAATCGAAATCAATACCAAAATCGAGGTCGAGGCCAGAGTAGAAGTCAAGGAAGAAATCCAAATCAAGGCCAAAGTTCTGTATCAGCAGAAAACCTGCCCCAACCCTCACCGGATGTCACTACACTTGAGGATAGTGTCATTTCTCAGCCCAAAGACGGAGATCAAAATGTCGTTCCCCGGAGGCCGGCGTATGGGGATCAGAAAGAAGAAGACGTCAAACTTTGGGCTAACTACTTTGAAATCAAGGCTGACAAGCGTAGCGACCTCTACATCCATCATATATCCTTTTTAGATAAGGCCAGAGAACCTAAAGGGAGAAAACTTGCCCGCGTCGTCAAGCTGCTTCTCGATCAAAACGAAGATCTGAAATCACTCTGGGTGGTTACCGATTTTGCTAACACACTCGTCTCACGCGAAAAGCTTCCAGAAAAATCATTCGATGTGCGCTACAACGATGAAGTCAACGTTCGAACGGGCGATAATGCGGTAACTTACATCGTAAAGATTGAATACAAGGAGACGTTGTCTATTGATTATCTGGTTCAATATTTGAAAGATCCTACAAAGCCCTGTTCAACGGAAGTCCTAGGGAAGATCGTCCAAGCACTTAATATCTTTATAAACCATTGCCCTCAGGACTCGAAAGATTATATCACGATCGGCTCAAGCAGATCTTTTCCTTTAAGCCGATCTTCCCGTACACGTCTACCATATAGCTGCTTCGCAATCAAAGGGTATTACTCCAGTATCCGAGTTGCTACTTCGCGAATCCTCGTCAACATAAACGTCACCCATAGCGTATTTCATGATAAGGCACGCCTAGATACAATAATGTCTGAATTCATTAAAAAATGGGATGACAATACGGCTACTTTCCAAAAGTTGGCGGCTTCCCTTAAAGGAGTCAGAATTGAATATGGTTATCTAAAAGACAAGGCAGGTAAAAACATCCGCCGGGTAAAAACCATATTTGGTCTTGCGTCGCCGGAGGATGGCACGGCAGACAAAGACACGACTAAAAAGCAGCCGCGAGTACCCAAGTATGGAGCCAAGGCAGACGAAGTTGACTTTTGGTTCAATAACAAATACATCACCGTCTTTGAGTTCTTTAAAACAGGTTAGTCCGTTTCTTCCGAAGTATTGTAGTGCTGGATGCCCTCTATTCTAACATCACTACATAGTACACAAAATAACGGTTGATAACACCTTGCCACTTATCAATATTGGATCGAGTGAGCGTCCAACATACCTCCCACCAGACCTCTGCTATGTGCTATCCGATCAGAGGGCAAAGATAGCTCGATACGACAATGATATGATTTCCCACATACCTAAATACAAGCCCTGGGAAAATGCGAGGGATATTGAACAAGGTGGTTTGAAGGCTATTGGCTTCTCAGGGGAAGACGATGGTAACAAGAAGAGACGAGTAAGTAATTCGAACGAGCCGAAAAAATTAATCGAACACTTCTCATAATCACCAGGACAAGTTTGGACTTTCGATCGAAAAGCCTGAGTTGATCACTGTTCACGGTCGCGTCCTACGTCAACCAACCATTAGGTATAATTCAGGCGATACAATACGCGCGATTCGATGGAACTTATCAAAGGTAAAGCTCGGGTCTTCAGGTTCCAAAAAGCGCTGGTTATGTGTGGCTATAAATCCCATTCCAAACACATTGAAGAAAGATATAGAGACTGCCCTTGTGATGCTCCAGAGCAAGTTGAAAGAAGACGGCGTATACATTGAAGATCCGGAACCGCCAATCTTCGCAACTATACCCATCGGAGACCCTAACTCTAAGACAACACTTAGAGAGGTATTTACATCCCGTGCCAAAGATGTCGACTTCTTTCTCGTCATCCTACACTCAAAAAATTCTCTTACGTACAACTACGTCAAGAGACTCGGCGACATAGAGTGCGGCGTCCCGACCATCTGCCTCGTAAAGAACACTCTTATCGCGAAGCCAGGTGACGATGATATTGGGAGGCATATACGGAATTTTTCTGGAAACCTCGCCCTGAAGCTCAATCTGAAGTTCAGCAACAATAACCAGATCGTCGATCCGAAAAATCTAAGTTCCATCCTCAACCCGAAAGATACGATGATCGTAGGGATTGACGTCACTCATTCTCCGGTTCCAGACCAGCCTAGCATCGCAGGCATGGTTGCCAGCGTCGACGGGAACCTCGGGCAGTGGCCTGGAGTTCTGCGGCACCAGGGGGAGCCGCGCGTTGAGATGGTGACGCACCTGCAAGAGATGCTCGAGACTCGCCTTAAGCTCTGGAGCTCGAGGAACAAGTGCTATCCCAAGAACATCCTCGTTTACCGCGACGGAGTCTCCGAAGGCCAGTATAAGCTTGTTATAAAGGAAGAGCTTCCAAAGTTGAAAGCTGCATGTACAAGGCTATGCAATCCAACAGCCATGCCGAAGCTTACCATCGTCGTCGTGGGCAAACGACACCACACCCGTTTTTACGCCGGAGACAACAAGGGCAACCCGAGTCCGGGAACAGTGGTCGACCGCGGCATTACAGAGGCTCTCAACTGGGATTTCTTCCTCCAGTCCCATAAACCAATCATAGGCACCGTCCGTCCGGCCCATTACTTCGTCGTCCACGACGAGATATTCAGGGATAAGTTCAAAGGAGCCGAGGCGGCCAACATGTTAGAAACTTTTACTCATTCCCTCTGCTACATATTTGGGCGGTCGACCGGTCCCGTTAGCATATGCACGCCGGCCTATTATGCGGATATCGCCTGCGATCGCGCTCGTTGCTACGTTGCTGCTGGTACTACCCACGCCGCAGCTTCACAAGCTCAGATTCCTGGCAGCGAAGGCCTTCTTCTCCATCCAAATATGAAGGATAGTATGTTTTACATTTGAGAGATTGATGAAGTCCCCACCTAGGGGTGCGCTCCTTGGGTATCAATGATTTTAGGGTGATATTTGGTTTAGATGCGTTGGATTCGGTTTAGGATAGACGGTATTTATTTATTTCAATAAAAAGAATACAGTAACAATTTAATTCACTTTATTTACCATTGGTAATAATACACGGTCATTTTATGTACACACTCAAGACTTGAGTAAACGGCCTAGCGATCGCTCAAGAACGACGCCGCCGGCACCGATCGCAGCGACAGTCCACAGCCACTTGTTACCAAACTCAGATAGACTTGGCCAGAAGCTATTCTTGATCTTCTTGTACTGCTGCAGTTGCTTGTATTTGTTGGGGCTTTCCTTGGCGTATCGCTTCTCCTCGTTCTCCTCGTTTTCTTTGTCTCCCCCGATGTAGCGAAGGAAGATGTAGTTAGTAATGGGGCCAAGGAGTGTTAGGGGGTGTAGTTGCCCAGCGCTGAAGAGGAGCAGAGGGAAGGAAAGGTGTGTCAAAGCGTCACCAAGATAGCTATTTAATAGTCAGTATTTTATCGCGACATTGATAGGGTGCAGAAGGAACTTACTTGGGGTGTCGGACGATGCTAAATACGCCTTCGCGGTTAAGTTCATCGCTCTCCTTGCGCTGGTGACACGCAAGTTGGGTGTCGGCTAAGATTTCCAGAGCGTATCCTGTGGTGAACAGGAAGATAGCAAGACCACGGGCTACGGTCGTAGCTTCAGGGAAAGGGGAAGCGAGAGCAGTAGCAATCGGAGCACGGAATGGCACTGTGAACGGCAGGGAGATCAAAGTCTGAATGAAGGCCTCAGGTAGGAACATGGTAAAGAAGGCCTTGTTCCAGTAGTCTGGCTGCTTCCTGTCCGACGTCTTGTATCGAGGGTCATCTTTACCACGTCGTGAGCTGCGCGAAGCAACGCGGTAGAAGAGACGTAGACCCCAGGCGCTAACACCCCCTAAGAGGAGCTTCTGATCATACGACAATGCAGACCAGGCAGCAGATACAGATAATCCTTCATGAACCACGGGAATTCCAATAGCGCTCCACCAGGCATTTGCTACTTGTGCAGTCGGCCACAGCCAATCCTTAGCTTCGACTCTGTCGGTGTAGCGTCCCAAACCATACGCGATGAGACTGAGGCCGCTGTGGAAGCCGAAAGATGGCAGTACCGCGTGTTGTAAAAGTCCAAGTGTTGATGTCGTGCCGCCAAACCTGATTCTGGCGGCGGGGGTAGGTTTAAAATGGGCTCCGTAGCGATCCTGTTCGGCACCCGAAACCGACGGTAAGCTATTATTCACATCTTCGGCCGAAGGTGTTTCGTGTCTACCGAACCAACGTTCGTATCTATCTTGTTCGGCCCCAGATCCGCGAGGAAGTATCTTTTCGATATCTTCCCTAGTGGGGAGTTTGAGTTGGCCAAAATGGAGCTCATATCTATCTTGCTCGGCACCAGATGTTCGTAAGAAACTTTCCTTAACCTCATCAGTAGATGGAAGCTTGACTCTGCCGAAGGTGCGTTCGTGGCGATCCTGTTCCGCGCCGGAACTCTTAGATAGATCCTTCGGTATCGCGTCCTTTACACGGTCCTTTACACGGTCTGCTTTATCACCGAGCCAACCACCTAAGCGGTCTTGTTCGGCTCCCGAGTCTTTAGGGATATTTTGCTGTAGTTTATCTTGAGCCTTGTCGGCTTTATTTCCGCCAAACCATCCGCCGTAGCGGTCCTGTTCCGCCATTGTCGTCGGGGTGGTATAGGAGAGATGATCTAAATCATACAATGATAACTAGTAAAGAATTATGTTAGGAATTCAATTGGGACGAGGGATATTGGCCAATTTGTAGCAACACGGGGGAGCACGGGAATGTTCTGAGGAGACGATGACGTAGCGTTACTTAGCCATGACGTAGTAGAAGACTCATCTCGGCAATGCATGTTGCTGAGAATCCTAAATGTAAATAAACTATTTGGAGAAGGATGAACTTTAAGTTTATGATAATACATAATCGAACTATTCAGAATTCTGAAGTTGTATCGGGAAAGCTTCCGAGATGTTTTGTTAAGGCGGGTATACGAATAGCTCCACTCTAGCAATTATCACCACTCGTCACGGCACAAGCGTCTTAGAAAAGTTACCAGTGCATCATATTTTGGTTAGAAAGCATATGATTATACCATCTTTTTCTATGCCATTTTACAATAATCTTAGCAACTAAAATTCTACCCCGCATATATACACTCATATGCAAACGCCAATTCTTGATCATTTATATTAACTAATACGAGATATAAAGTCTAACCCGCTAGTAACCAAACTTTACTCCATCCAACTTATAAAAATACCTAAGGTACTTAGATATAATAAATATTTACAAAATATTATCACGCGACGATAGGTCCTCACCTGCATCCATAAGGGAACTAAGTTTAAAGGGCAATATTACTAGATATCTCAGAAAAGGGGCACCGCCAACCCCTTAAGCTAGGACAATTGTAAACTCGGTCCAGGAGGTTGCTCACTCTCAATCCAATCTCATTCTAAAACCACATGTCACTTACTCTACGATTTTGAAACGATAGTAATTTCAATAATAACCCAGTCCTTTTATTCTCTCTCTCTAGCTAACTCAGGGGAACAATCTGACACGAAGGGTAGATATATACATATGTAGAATATATACGGCTATGAAAGCCTTAGCCTCCTAACCAGTTGCTTAGACCTGGACGGTAGAGCCGATGGGTCCGAAGCGGATGTTGGACCAGACGACCTTGCTGCGGAATTATTAGTCATGAAGAAATACATTATTAAGAAGAATGTTACGTACGCATCGGGGATGCTGGCCTCGACGTCGGATGGGACACCGGAGTCTTGGGCACAGTCACCACGGTCACCGCCGGGCTGGCCAGCCTTCTCAGGGGGGTAGCTGGAGTCGAGCCAAAGCATGTTGGCGTAGTGCTAAAGCGGATATGGTCAGTAAATAACGTTCTTCGTTGCGAAAAAAAAAAAAAAAAAAAAAAAAAAAAGAGGGGGATAGCGGGAAACTTACGTCGTCCCAGATGGACATGACAAGGACCATGGGGATGTCGAGAGCGTTGTTGAGCTGGTCGAAGCCGCCGACCTCGCTGAAGCGGTCACGGTCTCCGAGAACGTTGAACTCGGCAGTGCAGTACTCGGGGGTGATGTCGCTGTCGGCGGGGAAACCGTCGAGCTTGGGGCCGGGGATCTCAATCTTCTTGCCGTCCTGGACGAAGAACTGAGTCAACTTGTTCTCGGCGAACTGAGTGACGACGCTAGGGATAACGTTAGTTTATCATCGTTTGTTAACATAGGTAATAGGCTAGAGATTGGACTTACGTGAACTTCTTGCTGGTGTCGACGGTCTTGCCCTGGCCGTAGAAGTCGGTGTTACCCATGCGGTAAGGGTTGTAGTCGCAACCGTTGGCGTCACACTTTCCGGCGAATCGGTCCTCAGAGTAGGTACCACCGCACTCGTCCTTCTCGCAGACGTGGTATTCGTTGGTGGTGCAAGGGTGAGGGGTGAAAGCGAAAGAGTGCGAGTTAGACTCCCTTTTAGACGTTGTTAGCTGCGTTCCCTCCTTCGAGGTTCTCCGTGCGGTTCTTCTTACCAGACGTCGATTTCGGCACAGCAGGCACCGTAAGGGCCAACACCGGCGTTGTCGTCGTTGGTGGATGGCTCCCATCCCTCGACGTTGCCCTTGCCACCGACAAACTTCAAGTCACGGGCGCACTGAGCGTCGCAGTAACCAGTACCGTACTTGGCACCGGCCTTGTTGTTGGGGTAGCTGGCCATGCCACCGTCCTCCTCCATAGCGACGAAGTAAAGAGCGGCGTTAAGACCACAGTCGACGGTAGACAGGTCGACGTCGAAGGCGAACTCGTTACCCTTGAGGTCGAAGGTCTGGTACTTGTCGGCACCGTTCATGAGGTAGAATCGGGAGCCGATGTTGGTTCCGTAATCGTGCTTGGTCAAGAACTTGAGGGTAAGAGCATCGCCGCTGGTAGAGGCACCATAGGTCTTGCTGTAGTCGGCACCCTCGACGGCGCACTTGGTGGCGCAGTCGTCAGCGGTGCTGCACTGCGAGGTCCACTTGTTACCGTCGTAGCAGTTCTCGGTGCCTGAGGTGCTGTGAAGCCATCGCCAGTTGGAGTCGATGGTCACCTCAGCGTTGGTCTGGGTGCAGGAACCGCCGCTGGTGCACTTCTTCCAAGACAGCTTAGGGTGAGTCTCGGTTTGCTGCGTTCCAACCTGCTGGGCAGACGCGAACCCGAGAAGGGCGGCCGACACGGCAATGGACAACATGATGCTGGTGGTTTATCTTCGAGGTAAAGAAGTGGTAAACCTAGAGGGATGGTGAAGCTAAGGATGAGTCGAGGTGGCATCTGGGACCAGAGTTGATTATATAGTCGATCGAGAATATCTTGCCCAGAAATTAAACTTCTCCTCGACCCCATATTGCCGGCAACGGGCTCCGTCTCGACGTAGCCAAATCGTGGTATAGCATAGTCGATCACTAACCGTCTCGGCCCTATGACCATTCTCTATTAGATTAAAATGCCAATTATGCTAGTAGGGCTCCGGCGGGTGTTCCGACGACGCAAGTTGTGGTTGGTCCCAGCAGTAGGCTGCAGTCTACAACTACTTTCGTTCTGGATCATATCATTGGGGGCGATAATACTAAACGGAAGAGCCCTATATCCATAAAAGTGATCAGTCGTTGTCCAAAAATGGTTGTCGTGTATAGGATTGACCAATAGGAGGATTCGGCTTGATGGGCGTGACGATCAACATAATGAACCAAGGCGAGATTCATTGGCCCGAGGACTCTGGGGATACAACTTCCGTCGCAATTTAGATTGGATGGTATAAGTTTCAGGATCATGGCCCGAAGTAACCTGGGATATTTGCGGGGAATGGGGGTAGACAAGCTGATTCGGGGACGATCAGGGGTGGCAACATGTATATGGCTCAGCGATGGCATTGCGGCCCGTTATGTCCACAATCACGGAGACCAAGCCGCCGCCGTGGAAGGGAAACGAGATAGCAAAGCGGGGGGCCTCTAGGAAAAGAAAATTCAGACGAGAACGGAGGAACTACGACGCCTCCGGAGTTCTTTAGCGAACCCTAAGAAAACGGCGATGACGCAAAGCCAAAGCCGCGTTTCGTCCCGCCAAACCTCCGAATTCTACGGTACAAGTCCGGATGCCGCAAGTCTGAAGCAATCGTGTAGAAGGCTGACGCGAAAAAGAAAACCAGGAAAAAGGGGCATCCAGAATTTGCGAGCCTCCTTCTTTCGGCACGCCTGGGTTTTAGCCATTGCCAGCATACACTACCTACCGCACCAGGGGATCTCTGCAAGATCTGGTGTAACACGATGGCATGATAGTATTGGACGAAGAGCTTGGTGTGGGAAGCGATCGACAGCAGGAAATGCCGTTCACGTCCATGATGCCGAGACTAGGATTGTGGAAAATATCGACGGCATATTATCCAAGGGTGTAACGGACGCAGCGGAACGCTAGGACGGACGCCAAGTCTGGCAAGCTCCGTGGAGAAGACCCCAGTCAGTCATCACATTCTCTGCTATCCAATATATTTAGCCAATTGATGCCGGGTCCCCCTAGAATAAACTCATGCAGGTCCTCGCGTGGTGTGGTTCGTCCAAGCTTTCATTCCACCAACTGACCAGATCGTACTATTAAGGTCGCCAAGATCGGTCTAATTCTGAGCCGAATCTTTCTATTTCCAGCTTCCTCGCAGTACGATACGGCGGTGGGATGGGGATATCGCATACCCCAATAGGACGGCACGGCCCGTCAGAGTCGCTAAGTCGAGCAGCACTATACTCCAAAGAATCGTATACATAGTTCAAGTCTCTTGGCTTAGTTATGCGTAATAGCTTTTGCGGTTACTTTTGGGTCTGTCATATTTGCATGATGCTTAAAGCCGTAATTTACATGAAGAGATGAGTTTAGGTATCTAAGAGCCCAACGTAGGATTTCCAAAGCTAGCACCGAGTTTGATGGGACAATACATCAACCTATCAACTCTCAAATCCTTACGTTATAGATGTTGTCATTAATCTACGTGATTAACCCATATCTCCTCTCTAACGCGGTGGGATAATTTAATTCTCGTGCGACCACCTCCTGTTTGTCTCGAGAGGGCTTAATGGGCCAGTGGCAATTAGAGATTAAGTGTCCGTCGCCACTCGATGTTACTACTCATAAGCGCCACCTAGCCGCGATCATATTACAAAGTTGCAATATCGGAACGAGCTAATTTGTCTTTGACATGTTGGGTAGATAGTTTTGGTTCCGCCGAGCAGCTGGACGTATGTCCATCGGCGGCAGTGGCTTCTAAAGCGGCTCATAGATTCGGTTATCAAAAGAGATCAACGCAGCTGATCGATCAGTCTGTTACTGACATCGCCATTTGTAATGTTCGATCCAGAACCGTATAGAAACTTGATATCGAAACCCGGTCTCTGAAAAGTTTCTCTTGGTAGACAAATCCAGATTACCGAGATTTAAACGTGAAAACCCGCATATACAATTCAGCATGCCCCTGTTAGCTATGTATTGCTACTTGACGTACGATCCCTGCAGATCACCAGGCGTTTATCATCAAGAGTTAAATTTCGGTTGTATTTTTTCGTAATAGAGGAGGTCTCGTAGTTCTAGTCTGCCCTATCAAAATTGTAATTCGACGAAGGGGTCGGACCCACTTGGTAGAAGCTTGAATACTATTCAAGTTGACGCATGTATAATTATTATATTACTTTACGCCGTAGATTAAGTGCTCTCAAGTCCACTTCTATCTAATGACGAGTATAAGGAGGCTCCTATTGTAAGGGGGATCGTGGATACGATATTAAGGTTATCCACGTAAAGTGAAATTTAGCAAACTAGACTATTAAGACAGAAATATCTAAATAATACAGAAGATAAGGTAAAGGAGAGTGTAGTTCAAGATGTATCCATAGTAGTTATGAAGGCTTATCCGAACCAACCAACAACTTACGCAACCTAGCTCACGGATGTTATCATCCATTGAGTCATATTGCAAAGCTATTACGTGGCGACTCAGGCATAAGTATACATTATGCCACCGCCACCCCTCGCGTATTCCCGATTTGATATCTTCCAAGTTTCATAATCACCTCATCCCGTGAAATAGGATCCCGAATAGGCGGCTCCGACACGGAAGCAATGTTCGGGAATTTTTGTAGACGTGGGAAGGCTACTTACTATACGAAAACTGATCACCAATAGTAGCGTCATTCATAATGCCACCCACCGGATTCCGTCGTCACCGAATATAACCCCGCGGTTCGAATACAGACCTAGCCGTTGATCAAGAAGGCAAATAGATTTTCGAAATAGACCCGTTCAGTTCGATCCGCCGCCCAGGTCTAGGCAGTCAATCGTTGCCAATTAATGGGATTCAGTTTAATCATTGAGCGGTGGCGTCTCGACCGAATCGATCAACCATCAGCCTCCCTATCTAAACAGCTGGCAGAAGGGGATATACGTTCCATTACGCATTTTACGGCAGAGTTTTGATGCCCGAGAGTGGCAATAACTGGTTAATTTCGTAAGAGGAGGCTTCACGATACCTAGGACAAGCAACGCAAGTAGTAGAAAGGGGCGCTGACAGATTGAGATGCGATACGTACGAATCTCCATTTACAAACTGGCAAAGCGGGCTCGGATGTTGGGATCTATTCTAATGTGACAGAATTTAGTCGTCAATTGTCACAGAACGACTCGGTCATCTCCCTCGATCTCAGCCATAATCTTCGTCAATTAAAATTATACTGCCACCCAAGAACTCGGCCACGATCATATACATTATTCGCGACTAGAAGTACAGACATTACACTAATGAAGACTAATCTCTATGCAAACAGAACAGGATTAAAACAGGTGAATACAAGTAGACGATAAGTCTAGTCCAAACCAGAAATACGAAAAAAGGGGTATCCTCAACAGGTTTGCGCAACCGCTAATAGCTAGTCGCGATGATAGAATCCATCGACATGGTCTTGAAACGCTTTACGACCGGCTTCATATCTCACATCTCACATCTCACATCTCACATTAAGTCGTCATCAACCGCCGTCCCCTCCCACCTCCTCGTCTGCAGCTTCCGCACCTTCTTCGTGGGACTCCCACTGCTCGACACCTTGAGGGTTTTCTTGCTTTCGCCGCTGTTTACTCTTAACTGCTCCATGCGGTTACCGAGGTCGCCCAGCGTATCTGCCCCAGAAGGTGAGGCCCTGGTGCTGGGTACATCACCCCTCTCCTGAAGCGGGGCGCGTTTGCTTGGTGTGCGGCCAGATAGTTCGCGCTTCAAGATCGCGACTTCTCTTCGCAAACGCTCGTTCTCTTGCTCCAGATTTTCGATCAAGATGTTCTCCTTATCTTCGTCTTCAACATTATCTTCGTCGGAGCTTGGCATGGTAACTGTGACACCCACGCCGCGAGCTAAAACCTCTACCTTGCGGTCCCAATGCTCCTCACCGCGCTCTTGCTCCAGCGACAACGTCGCCTTCCATCGTCCCATCTCTAAAGCGAGCCGCTGCTCAAAGTCTGCGTAGCATTCCTCTCGGATCTCCTGTTCAAAGTCTGCGAGACGTTCTTCCATAGACAGCAAGTGAGCCTCGGCTGCCATACGTGCCTCCGTTTCTTGTACTAGTTCGGTATTCAGCTGATCTATCATATCGGCCATTCTCGCAATCTCTAAAGCCGCGTTCTCCATCGTTGCCCTCTCCGTGTCGGGTGCAGGTGAGAACATCCGGCTATGGTTTCCAGAAGGATGAAAATATGGTCGACGGTGAGTCAGGACAGGCGAGCTTGTATCACTGCGAGACCCGACGCTTGATTCTGACCGCACAGAGTGTGCCGAGCTATTCGCATTGGCGAGCATTGTAGATGTAATAGAAGGAACGCGTGGTACGGTAACCTCACGGGCCAGGGCGCTATATCTGAGAATTTGTGATGTCGCGTTAAAGTCTCCTAGAGGATCGGCTGTAACGATCATTACACCTTTCTGTGGAGCACGCCGCCCGTTTGTGGAGCTCGAGGGCGAGCCTGAAGGAAACGAGTTGGCGAATAGCAACTCTGTGAGCTTGCATTGACGAAAGGGGACTACATTAGGCTTTTCACCGTCAGCGAAGTTCCTAAATACCGTGAGCAAATAATGCGACATACCTTCGTCGCACTGCTAGCGTCGCTCTGCATTTGTAGACACTGACCAAGATACATTAGACTTTCATTGATCTTACCCGCCTCTGCCAAAGTCGCGCCTTGTGTCTTCGCATCCCTTGCTCGCTCACTACCAGCTAGATCAACGATACTTAGTGTACTATTACCCCAGCGTGCATTGTGACGGCCGCGGCGTCTTTTCTTGACCTCGATACAGAAAAATCCATGGCTTCTCGACGACACGCTATTGCTGCCTGTGCCAGCAACTCGCCGCTCGTGGAGCCCGGCTTCGAGAACCATTAGTGCCTCTTTGAGATTACCGCAGATAACCTTTCGGAGCCCTGCTACGACCTTTCGATCAGGAGATAGCTCTGTAAACTTGAAAAGCAGCGGCCGTCGCCTAGGCTCTTTATTACTATTCGATCTAATCGGAGGAGTTAAAAGATCGAAAATTCGGTCGTTGTATACTTCGTACATCGAGATAACAATAGCATACTCGGCAGACGGATCGCAGGATGCTCTAACGGAGTTAATATCTGGTGCTTGAGGGAAAGCAGATGGTCGTTGTAGGTTTTTTCTCGGCGTCGGTGGCGCGTGGTCACCCTTCATTGGACATTTAGTAACATTCTTCTTATTTCTTGCGGCGGAGGTGAGAGACATGTAATGCTTTTGGGGTGACGGGGAGCAAGCCAACTTTGGCTTAAGCTTAATAGACGCAACTTGCGTCAGGGTTGGAACCACCTCCCCCTTTTCACTGGGCGGTGTTGAGAGAAGTATTATTCTCGACAGATCGTCATCGTGACTAACGAGCCGTATACTTTGAGGGCTGCTTGGAAAACAACCAGGCGGTAGCGGTGTAGGGATACGTGTAGGTGGTTGGATAGGAACGCTTGGGGGTCCTACAATCATTGGTGTCGTAGCTCTTGATCCACCTCGTGAACTGCTGAAATCGGTGTACATCGTATCGATAAATGCTGGCGCAGAGCAAATTGCTGCCTCGGACGCGTCGGAGGATCGTATACTTGTCTCCAACGCAGGGGAACTCTCGCAGTCAACGATGTTTGATTCGACGGATCGGAATACGACATCGAGTGCAAGCTGGGTTAAGCCTCGCTGGCTCCGCGATCCAAGCATAGTATGCGTCTGATGGGCTTGCTGTTAGTCACTATATCTTCTGTCACACTATACTACAGCTAGACATACCTTGCCTGAACCAGTAACCCCTAGGGTCGCTAGCAGACCATCTGTACCGTCACCTCCATGAGGAGCTAATACGCCTTCAACCAAAGGAAGCACTCCGATGCCCTGGAATAGGTCAAGTTGTGTGGCATCCTCTTCAAAAACGCGTGTAAACGCGAATTTCTCTATAGCGCGTCTTCGGTCGTTCGGTGGGTTCAAGGTGATATGAGTGGGGGCATCGTGTTCTACGGGGTCTTCGACTAAAAGGAACCGTTCAGCACCCGAATTTCCAGCTTGAGGAGGCCGTAGTCTCAAGTACACCTGAAAGAGGTTCGCGTGCCCTTTTTGAGGTGGCTCCATGACGATGGAACTGCGGCTACGCGATTCAAAGAGTTATTGAAAGCGGTGAGGGAAAAAAAGGCTGATAGAAAGCAAATGCAATTACATGCAGCACGAATGCACAATTGGACTCTAGACTTTTAGACTATTGTAAGGTAATGCAAGAAATGCTCCGTCCGGCATAGATGCAACCGTTAGGATAGAAATGGTTGGATACTTTAAGCATTAGCGTTGAAAAGCGTACATGATGCAGATAGGTACGGAATACCTAAGATACTAATGTCGGTATGATGGAAGTCGCGACTTCCTACAGGATGAATAAATGAAGTCAATATTTACTTCGGATCATATTTGTTTCGCTAGGCAACCAACCATGCAGGCAGGAGGACCTCATAGGTCGGACCTTCCCATGGTTATATGTTGGGTACGTATAGGTTGGGTACGTACTTGTTTCAAGCCACGATCAGCACGATCTACCCCATATTTGAGGCTAGTATTGCGGCTACTGGACTACCCCACCAAGAATTTCTCCAATATAAATTCCCGTCTCCTCTCTCGTTTTTTCAATTCTTCTTCTCTTTTCCTCTTCAGCTCTCTTTGCCTTTTGGCTTAGATCAAGTGTAGTATCTGTTCTTTTCAGTTTAATCTCTGAAAGAGTTCTACTTGAACTCAATCGTGATTATTCTAATTTTTGTTACGAGGGAGCGCATCCTCTAGGCTTGCCTATGATCGCTCTCACCGTGTCCCTGGTATTACACTGCCTCCAGGCGACGCGAATACGCTTTTCATTGCAATTTCTAGCTTGCCTAGAGATGCGAAGAATGGCAATTCCTATTTCCGTACTAGTTCAATCATAAACCCGGTTTATTCTCCCAATTAAAACATTATGTGAAAAGTCCTCGCCTTTTCATGTGGTTCGAAGGATTCTGCGCGTTGATGATTATGACATGTACGCATCGGATTTCTCCCTTGAAAACATACCCTTTGAGTAGCATCGGCCACGTATCTGGATTGCTCCATATTTCGATAATTCTAAATTTCACAGGGCGACAAGATGGTCTATGTATTAAACCAAATTGTTTATCAAACCAATGAGAAAAGAGCCCGAGTCATGTGAGTTAATATAATTACACTAGCTCTTCTCCTGCATACCTTAGGTACGTATAAGCCAACGAGGCTCGCGAGTCTATTTCAGGGTACTTTGCGTAGTATGTCGATATCAAATTAGGGGTTTACAAGTTTATGACATGCATGTCTCGCAATCATCTGTTTGTATTAACACTCCTATTTCTCCTATTTCCCTTAACCGCTCTCGATCAATGGTACAACACAGTACATTTTGCATTCCTAAGCACCTAACCTTGCTTTACATACGTAGTGCTTTACATAGTATGCAGTGTATCGTAATAAGCTAGACTAATGTCGATGAAAGATATTCGAAAAACGATCGATCTCGATTTCATGCGAAATGCACGTCACCGTTAATAGAATCTACCCTGGTGGAGAGATGGGGAAAGCTTGAGTATATACACTACCGCATGTATCATGGAATGGGATGTTGATGCTGGTTCGGACGAAACGAATTCGGTAAAAACGGAGAAAGAATCGACACGTCTTAAAGAGAAGATCTACCGTGCATGTAACTTTAGAGATCACCATTGAAATTTTTGGTTGGAGGGGTTTAGACCCAGAGACCATAGAGTGAGGGTAATAGGTGGAGATAAATGAACCAACTACATAGGAGGTATCCTTGCTTTTCCATGTATCGTCGTCGTCACCGAGGGGTAGGATGGGTCGATGGAAAAGAAAATCGGAAGTTGACGAGATATCTGCTCGATAACTTCGCTTACTTACATGGCATACACTACATGGTACATACATGCTTATACCTAGAGATGTCTGCATACCTTGTTACATATACTGTAGCCTCCTGTTGTACATAGGTGTCGTGCAAACGTGGAAAACTACCCCATCTCGCCAAATTATCTGTTTCCGTATACGCACATATATTTGTATGTCTCGTGGAAAATGTACGTTGAAGTAGAATAAAACACCACATGTACTGTACACTGAACGATAATTGCCACAATATGAGTCTATATAGAATCTAGAAGCAGTTATACGCCACGCAAATACACTAACTAGTCGCCGTAGAGATATCCAAACGGACCAGTTGGGTAATAATAATACCCTTTGAATATACGAGCGGGACGGAAAGAAAATAGAAGAAATTTTGGGAGGGGTATCCGTGTGTCATCCTCTCAAAATGACTCCTCTTTGACTCCTCTTAGAATGCGTCACAAGGGAACCTCCGAGAGTTGAACAAGTTTTCGGTGGATACCAGGGACTAGAACGTCGTCTTTGCCGGTCTTCGCTAATTAGTATCGGACCATGACCGCGAGAAAGTCATATTCGAAGTGGAATTCGAAGTGGAACTGGGAGTTCAAACGCCTCGGGAAACCAAAATTTGAATGCAGCTTCGAACCACTAACACTATGAAGAAATATGTATCTAGCACAGTCGTAGCACTACCTTTAGGTGGCCAAGCGCCAACTGCCAGCGCCGAAGCAGCAAGTAAGCCTATAGGTAGCCAGTTAGAGATGACATTATAGTGGATTATACCTATAGTGGATCTTGCAGTGGACCGCAAGGGACAAATTGGTGGTTCTAGAGGGGTGTTTTAGGCTTTAGTGCGCTAAGAAAAATGCAAGTCAAAAAGGCGGTGACACATCTCCTTAACAGGTTTAGTTCAGCCTGTCGACGGGGGTGAACAAATCAGGGACCGTGCAGAGCTGCGGGAAGTCCAGGGTCACCCCACCAATGGAACTAAAAAAGAAAAAGAAAAAAAAAAGTTACGCTGCAGTTACAGTGGGATATATCCACCAGTGTTTTTTTCCCGGGCCTGCGATTGCATCTTTTCCCTTTCTTACTTTTTCCTCTCAGGAAATCCAAACTACAACCAGACAACGAAGTCGCACTACAAACAGCTTTCAAGAAAGTATTCCAGTTAGATCACACTAAAACTTCGTCGAGAACCATGCCTTCGGCCGTCGCTGAGCTGTAAATACCCACTACGGGACATGTCTGGCGTTCCTGGTCATGTCCCGTAGTCCAGCAGTTCACCGAGATATTCAATCGCAATTCGACAACTCGACGAAGTTATACAGGCTTTCACTGTCTTGTGTGCCCTTTTTTCAGCCAAAGGGTTACCTCCCGGAAGTCTGAATATTAAACAGAATTACTGCATTATTGTGCGCATTTCGCCCATCCATTGCCGGCATATACGACTTCGGCTTAGTGACGACGATATACTCTTCCCTCAACCCCTTTACCTCTTTCTCCTCCTAACAATCGCCCATTACTTCGTTCCGTATACCCTTGTAAACTCAGGCATAACCTTGAAAAAGGGTGCTGTCGAGAAACCACAGGGTTTTTATACTACCACGAGAGTGGACACTATCTGCACTATCTGCACTATTCGAGTAACTATCACTTAAGGCTTCACCGCCGTTTGTCTCGATTTTCTCAACCTCGAATCCGGGGGTGGAACCATTACCCCTGTATTTCTCGCATATCCTCTATAATTAGCATACGGTACAATACAATGTCCCGCAACGTACGGCAACAACGGCCACCGACTACTCCCGTCAAGGTCTCCAGGCGTCGTGCCTCGGACGCTTCGTCGTCACTCGACCTCTCTGACGAGGGTGGTTATTCTGGAGTAGAAGACATCAGTGATTCTGACGACGACGACGAGGATGGAATAAACGCGGTCGAGGAGGAGCATATTCTCTCGCATGAACTGCACAAACCCATTCGCAGCTCGCGCTCCCCTCGGCCGCATGATGACGAGGACGAACAGGATGAACAAGACGACGACGACGACGATGAGGGTGGGGATGAGTACGAGGGTGACGATGACGATGCGGACGACAATGCCAGTTGGGGTGGCATCTCCTCTGAAGCAGACGCTGACGATGACCTCACAATTGATCAGGGATATACCAGCACAGAACGGCGTGTCCGCTTTGATATCCCTGAAGATTCGTCGGACGATGACTCGACAGAAACTGACGACGATGTAGACCATGGTTTTTTCCCTGATCTCTTCGTTGACAAGAGCATTCTCGACCCATCTTTTCGTCGAGAAATTGAGCACGATGCTGATCCTTACGACTCGTCCAACTCGGAAGCATTCTGGGATAATTATTCTACCGCTGCCGGCGACTGGTTGGGCTTTGACGACGAGCCAGCCTCTGATTTTGAGGCTTTAATCAAATCCCTAGACGATCAAGATAGTACGCCAGTTCCTACACCTGCGACAACCCAGGATCTATCAACTGCCGCCAACACCCCCATGGACCTGTCCGAGAACGACGATATTTCCCTTGACGGATATCAAAGTGAGTGAGAGTAATTTGGCTGATGACAAGTTTATACTAATCTTCCCCTCGTAGCTGATGGGGATACTACCGATGAGGAAGACCCGCCTGAGAAACCCGTCCGACGTAAGACTCGGCGGGAGACTGTAGACGACGACTCTGATTCGGATGTTATTACGCTCGTTCGGCCACGCCGCGGGCAACCACGCGTTGGTCGGTTCAACCTGGACAAATCTAGCAAGAAGCCCATTGCGATATTAAACCCGAGAACCGGCAAGATGATGATCTTCACTCATCAAACCATGAGAGGGAGAGGTTTTGATCTCTCTCCAGAGCAGTTCAACTTCCACTATTTTGATCAAACCCAGTCTTCTCCTATGCTCAGCAACCCGGGTAGCATCATGATGAGCGGTATGATCTCCTCTAGCACTTATGGGGACTTTATGAATACACACGCCGTCGGCCCTGAAGAAGCTTGGTACTCCCAGATGTCTGATGGGAATGCAGTTGAGACGTCTGATTCGGACGACCAAGTCGTCGATGAAGCAGAGAAGAATCTCAAGTTGGAAGACTTCATCACATTGGATAATGACGATGATGATGACGAGGGCGATGAATCGTCTGAAGAAGAGAAGACCCACGAGCATGACGGGGCGGATGATCAAATATTCCGCACGCCTGGTCGTACACCCGGCCGCCCCGGTACTGCGTCCAGCGATGTGACATCTCTCCTTGACCACTTCCAACATAATAGCAACATTGTTGGTGCGTTTCGCCGAGACCAAGCGAATCATCAGTTAATTAGCCGTAGTAAGGCTACCCGAGAATCTCTCGCCTTCTCTGGTCCCTATTTTGAAGGCACTCTTCGTGGCATCAAGGATGGGCGCATCGCTACTACCAACGTTCCCATCTCTCCCATGCGTAAGCAGAAGAAGATGTCTGAGCTCGCCAGCAGCCCTCTCTCGACCGTGACACAGAAGAGGAAAGCATCGTCGGAGCACCATCTAGGCCATAAACGGCAGAGGAGCATTCCCGACGTAAATCTCAGGATCTAGTCTTTGACACGTCATACTCTCGCCCGACGCTTTTTTTTCTTTGTTATCACAATACGCCGATGGACGGTGTGGCCTATTCCCATAGGTCATTCCCTGGCCATTGATCACCTATCCGCAAGACGAATCTAATACAGATCGATCATGGGGTGATTTTTATTTTCTTTACCTCCAGCACCTGTACCTACAACCCCTGTCAGACGGTTCTGATTTAGCATCTAATGAATGCTAGCCATGGCTGGCGATACAATACTCTTACCCATGGCCATTCCAATCAAGAGATTTGGTGACAGTCCCGCGAAATTATCATGCATGCTTGTCGATTATTTCCTTATATCTCTTGTTCGTTCTGGAGGTTGAAGACCTCACAATCTAGCCTGAAAAGCTCTGGTGCTTATTTAGACGGCCATAGACAAAAGCAGAACCTGGCGTTAATAGTACTGTGTAAGGACGATAATGATGCGGATATATTTGCGAAGACAAGTCGTGTTGTTTGACTCCATGCTGAAAAGTATGAAGCTCGCACGTAGTCTTACCCCTGAAGAGGCAATGTCGTTGGCAACCTCTTACGAGATGTTATTTCATAGAGAAGTCAATCTAAAATTAGTTTCGTCATAATGTCTATTCTCGTTTGTGAAATTGGCATCCTGTTGATATGAGTGTCTCTATAATCAATCATCTTTAGACTGATATTATCATCATCGCTAATATCGCATCTCTCTCTATTTCCGCACCCTGGAATAGTTTCAAACCCTCTTAGAATAAAATGAGGCGAAGTTTGACCATCGTTATTTTATAAGAATATGCTATATAAAGGTCAGTATTCCCTATTTAACTTTAACTTTCGATATTAACTTACCAGCCTCAATAACAGGTACCTAGATTGCAGACAACCTCGTTAAGTCGGAAAAGTGAAAGTTGTGACAATACAAGACATCAATTCATCGTAATAAAACAGGTAATCTTACAATCTCAACTACAGTACTTCATCATTTAGGATAGACAAATGCCAGTGTGAAGTCTTGCCTTCTCGGTTGCTAACAGGAACCCCCTTAAGCAGGAGATAGTCCTAGAAATCGTATTGTACTAGCCAGTGTTGTGACCCTACCTACCCAACCCGTGATAAAAGGAGCCATAGAACAATACACCTCGTTTTAACTTTCGTTCCCAAATCGATCCATATTTTATCATCCTCGCGTGCTCGTCTTTCTCATTCAACAGCTACGCACTTCATCGAATTCTTCTCCCATCTCAACATCGTTTCGAATTTCATCTCTTCCCCAATCTTACTTAATATACAAGGTATTTGAGCGTGATGATAATGATATGATCATAGCTCCTCCTTGACCTCACCGGCCTTCTTCTTCGCGACCTCAGAACCAGCACCCAGCTGTGCCACGACCCACTGGTACGCATCCTTGACGCTCTCGCCAATCTTGGCAAACACAGTGCTAGCCGGGTTGGAGGTGCCGTACTTGAAGTATGTCAATTGCTTGCGCGCCTCGGCGCGGAGCTCGTTGAGGGTAGAGCCCTGGGGGACGGGCTGCGTCGGAGTTAGCATATTTTTGTTTTATACACGATTTACCGTAACTATACGAGATGGAAGTGAACTTACTACACCGTAACTGTCTAGGTACGCCTTTAACTCACTCTCGCTCCAAGTGTCGAAAGTGCTCTTCTTCGCCGCCTCGGTAGCCTGAGCCAGGTAGCTTGTCGCAGAGGCGTACGAATTGCCGCCGGCACTTGAAGCAGACGAGTAAGCCGATTGAGCGGCGTCTACGAGTTCGTCTCGGGTAGCAGAGCTTTTCTCGGCAACCTTCTGCGCAGCTTTGTTGCCGCTACTAGCTAGGTACTTCTTCAGATTATCGTAGGACAGGTCGTCCCAAGACCAGGCGCTGTAAGGGTGGGCAGTCTTGTGGGCGTTGCGTCGCACTAAGGCGCGGAGCTCGTCAATCTTCGATCCCTGGGGAACGGGAACCCCGCGAGCATCCAAGTAAGCCTTCAGTCGGCTCGCAGACCAGTAATCAACTGCCTTGTTAAAAGCATCCTGAGCGGCAAGACTGGCATCGTTAGTAGCCTTGGCGTACTGGTTTCCAGCCTTGCTAGTAGCAGCGCCGAAAGCACTTGAAGCCGATGCGGACACGTTATCACCAAGGATAGCAGCGCGGTGTTTCCGGACAAGAGCACGTAGCTCATTGGCCTTGCTTCCCTGAGGAACTGGAAATATTGTTAGTTAAAGTTGTGAGAGAAATCCGGTTGATATTTAAGTTGCTTACCATTGATTCCGTTCTTGTCACAGAATTCCTTCAGCTGAGACTCGCTCCAAGCATCAATAAGCTTGTCGGTGAGAGTAGCGTAGGCGGCACGGGCACTAGCGGATGCAGACGCCTTCTGCTCCTGTAATTTCACATAAGCAAGGTGAGAATTGCGGCGAACCAAGGCAATCAATCGGTTACGCTAATGTTCACGGCGTTAGTTCAGTACGTTTAACTAGATCTATACACAGGGATTCCTTACGTCAGTGATTTGGGGAGCAGGGAAGCCATGGGTGTCAAGCCACTCCTTCAAGTCGGACTCGGACCAAGAGTCGTAAAGCCAATCTCCAGGGTACGAAGCGGTCTCGCCAGCTTTCTTCGCTACGGTCTCGTAGTTAGAGCGAACCTTCTGAAGGAGAGTATCACGAGTTCGTGGCTGGGGGACTATACACGGTATTAGCAAGATACCAAATGGGCTTGAAGGTATTTAGGAATGTTACCTGGGATGCCATGCTTGTCAGCAAACGCCTTTAGAGCACTGTCGGACCAGGTATCCAAGATCCATTCTTGAACATTGGTCCAGGCCGTCTGGGCTTTGTCTTCCGTCTCGTACCAAGCGTTCGCTACTTGGCTAACAAGCGAATCCTTGTTCGACTTGGCAGACTCTTTAGTCTCTATACCCTTTGATTTCAGGTATGCTGTAAGTTTGTCTGTGTCCCAGTTCTTGTAAGGGGCAACGGCGTAAGAATCCCAATTCTTCTGAATCAAGTTTTCGAGATCTTTTCGATCAGCCGGTGTAGGATAGGGGATATCATTGTCGGACAGCCATCGTTCTAGTTCAGTCTCGTGCCACTTGTTATATGCTGTGTTTAACAAAGGTATCAGCAGGTGTCACCTACCATGCGATCAACTCAAGGAATATAACTTTATGATAACTTACCGGCTTTACTAAACCAGCTACTACCCACGACGGCATCAGCCACCAGGCCGAGGGAGAGGACGGTTGAAAGCCACCTCATGACGGTTTAGGTATCTAAGCTACAGGTAGGTATCCGTTGTATTACAGAAAAATTAAGTATGTTGGACTGTGACTATGATAAATATCGTGAAGGATGGAAGGAATTGCAATGGTTTTGTTTGGTACGGGAGAGAAAGGTCAGTGGAGTTTTAAAAAATGTATGATGATGAAGGATGATGAACATGTCAAAAGTCAAAATGTATCACGTCACTGTTTTCCTTTGTTTACCGCCCTGCCGTCACAAGCAGACAAGCTAAGCTCGAAAAGCTACATAGGTCTAGGAGGTAGCTTCCAATGTCCTTCAGAGCTTCACGTTTTCTTATGTGGCCATTGCGTTAGACAAATATGACGTAGCAGCTACAGCAACTTGTGGCACCACAGAAATCTGGCTTGTGGTTTACCTATCAGAAGACTCAAGTGATAGACTTTACTAGTTTCAAAAAAGAAAGAGGCGTTCAAGCCCTTCCTGTCTCCTTTATCGAATAGAATATGACCAAGGAGACAGACGAGTTTGCATGCGGCTAGTATCTCCATCATCGACTACAAGGCTGGACGATTTTAGAGGCGAAGAGCAAGGGATGATAATTCTGGTGATGTCATCATCCTGAAGTACCTAGGCGAGGTACCGCTTTAGCGTCGGTACGTATCGACTGCTAAAGCCACAATCTTATTTGGCGGGTGTGGGGTAGAGTACCTAGGTACCTAGGTAAAGCTATTGGGGTGCGGGACCGTTACCTACCTTAACCCCACATTGCTTATTACTGAGTATCTATACCGTCTTATACTCATATTACGCAGTCCTTATACACAGTCCTTATACATATGTAAAAGCATTGTTATAGCAGCTAAATGCCTCTATATGCCTAGTATATGAACCTTCCATAAACCTCCCATATAGCAAGTTAATAGCCCCGAGCGTAATGGCAACATACCTCCCCTACCATCCCGAACTCCTACAACTCCGAGTGCCTACAAGTAAATACTTCCTAACGTAGAGGGTATTGTAAGTTAACGTATCGCCTCTTCGGCAGTTCCTCCGCGGATCACCATTGTCTGCACACATATTAAGATGAACTACTACCAATGGTCATTCTACGCATCTTTATGGTAGGTAACGCAAAGCTTCCCGGTTTCTTAGCCTTGGGTAAAGTGTCTTCATCCTCTTCTCCGTTCCGAATCCCACCACTTCTTAGCGACTCTTGCTTTACGAAGAATCGTGGGAAAAGCCCTCCCTTACCATTCTTCTTCGTTCCGTACCAGCACCAGTCGTCCTGGTTAAGCCCTGCACGAAGTGTCGGTATCTAATTAGCAACCGAGTCCACTACGGGACTACTAAAAGGGAATATAGGGGGGATTAAGTTGGGCTGAGATGCAACATACAGGAAACATTGGACAAAGTTTCGTCTTTATCAAATTGCAACCATCCTGATGACGGATCCTTCACCTCGAATTTCCACCGTGTCGTAACTAACATGCCGTCGGTACACGTATTCGAGCCTGGAAGATTTGCGGGCAGTTCGAGGATGATATACTTCGTAGGGAAGGATCCCCATTGACCATCGTGCCACCCGGTACACCATTTTCCCTTCCAATTCTCTGGAAATTCGACGCCCACGATCCGGGCGCCTTCCATAAACTTCATTACTCGGTCCAAATTTCCATCGGGATCCGTTAGATCACGTCCATACCGTCTAATATGGCTTTTTACAGCTCTTGCAGATGGTAACTTGGATAGAGTCGTTGTGTCTGGAAGCAGGCTAGCTACCGGAGGGTTGGGGAAGTGAAGGTCGTAATCTTCAACAGTAGGGTCGTTTTTGGGTACTTCGCCATACCTTTTAGGCGGTTAGCTAAACTACTTGGAGAATCAAAGACCGTATTCTTACAGGATCGTGATCCCAGGGATCTCCGGCAAAGGCTGTGGATGGCGCGACAAGTGTTGAAACAATTGGTCTTGAGTTGTAAATATCGTGGCATCGTCGGCATAGACGGTTTGCCCCTTTTCTGCGCAGAAGAGGCAGGCGAATCGCACCACAAATGCTGAATCCGAGGCCATGTGGGATTTATATAGAAACCGAAGACGATACAAGACGCCGGATTTGCTAAAATTGGCACTCGCTACGAGTATCGAGGGTTAACCGAGTGAGCTGGGATTATTAAGGGATTTGGCTTACGGTCAAGAGCGTCGTCGAGCTCTACTTCCAATAGGGATTGCGCGAACTCGCATTCTGTGCACCGGGCGGTACTTCGTCTAGTTCCCTGATTATACAAAATTAGCATAAGTCGCCTCGTTACGAACATATCAGTCTTCTACGGTATAGGCGACGGATAAATAAACCAAAATGCCCTTACGTATTCCATTACGGCTTTGGTTGCAGCCTTGCGCCCCTTAAATCGATACGTCTGCGAACCCGCGCATAAGCCCTTATGTATATAAAGGCTGCTGTCTAATCCGATCTGATAGCCAGAGAACGAGTCCTTTCTTGCCGCAAAAAGTTCCTCTGCAGGTATGAGGCCATCTTCGTAAGCCGGTGGACTCGGCAATCGCGGTAGCTCAACTTCGATCGGTCCGTGGGTTCCAGGGGGGTCTGTTATGGACTTCGCAAGCGAGGTGGTTCTCTGGTCGCTCGTGGGGACGTATACGGATGATCTGGGGCCCGAGGCGTAACTACCAGTAGTAGTGTACCACGATATCCTACTATATGAAGTATCCGGGCTTTTAGGTGCATTAGGCGGTACGGATAACTCTTGGCCGTGTATAGTAAGGCTGTCGAGGCTATTAAAGATGACAGGTTGCCCTACGAAGTATTCGTCTTCTGGGATTGAATTACTGCGAGACCACGATTTAGCAGCGGTAGTCTGTTCGCTAACCCAGGCCGACGTCCTCGGGTTTGGAGGTGGTGCACTCGGAGGGCCGGATATAAGACTGATGAAATCGCGCTCTGCCCCTAGTATATCGGGACTAGACGGTCGCCTAGACGGTGTGCTGGCGCCACTCATGCCGGCATTATCGCTGTGCCTCATAGTGGTAATAGATCCGCCGTTGCTACGGCCCTTGCTATTCGAATCTCGTGAAGATAACGGCTGTATCCACGGCGGAGGGGACGGTGTTTCCCGCACGTTTTCTTCTATATGTAGTCTCTTCATAGTTTCCATAAGAGTTAGAGCAAATGCCTTGGACGACGCTTGCACATCTGCGAACTTTTCGGAGTCGAATGAATCAACCTCGACGAAATCATCCAAGTCGTATAGTAAATCTTCTAACCGTCTTTGGTTATCGAGAATCCGATCTATAAGTTTAGAGTTAGTAGAGTTCCTTGAACATGACCTCAGTTTATGTAGCAACGGCATGTCGCAACTCTTTAGTAGTAATAGCAGTAATAGGTAAGCATTCACCATTCTGTCGCATAGCCTCCGTGAACGTATCGCCGTGTTTGTCGACGCGTTCTTGCCATAGTGGCAGGAGTCTCTTCAAAGCTCGTTCGCCTTCTTTAACCAGTGAGCGTGCTGCTTTGAGCATATCCGTCACATTTCGTCCGTTTGACGGATCGGCGCCGTCTTCGTCTTCATCGTCACGGCTGCCGGCCGCTGCCTCGGCATTAGCGACGGCTTCCTTGCCCCGCTCTACAACTTCTCGGAAAGGTTGGATAAGAAGCTCCTCGGCGTCGATGGCCATCACCGACTGTCGAGACGCAACCGAGAGCGCTTGAGCATGGACTAGAGAACTGCAGTAGGAATACCGATACCGAAGATCAAAATGCGTAAGATGGACTAAACCGGACTAGATCGTAACATGACATGCATACAAACACAGGTTCTCACAACCCAGGGTATCGTTATAGGTAAGGGGTAAGGGACGTTGATGAGATGCACTATGTAGGTAGGTATGTTGCGCGAAGGAAGAAATTAATTAGATCGAAGTTTGGTTCCATCATGACGGCACTTTTCATGCGCTCACCTTCCTTTTCTTCAACCCTTGTATTTATCCTCCCCCACCCTCATACACTATTTGGGGCTCTATCCTACCTAGTATATTTCTAGCCATTTTCTAGCCATTCAAGTTGATGCTCAGCCTGCTGTAAACTAGACGAGGGGGGACCCTGAATCCGACATCCTGGTTCGTCAAGTTCTTGGCCGGCTGTTAGATATCGATGTAGCAAATCATCGACATGGGCGAATCACGGCGTCTCCATACCGGTCGTTGGTAGTCGTTGGTAGTAATATAGCGCACCCACCTACTGTTACAGTTATAGTTAAGCGCAACTCATAGCTGTATGCGGCCTACCGATCTACCGATACCGCGAATTCGGATTTGCCGAACGGCCAAATTCGGCTTCTGATAGGCACTCTAATAGCAAATAACCCCCACTAGTCGTTTTTGGCGTGGGCAGTGTAAAGAAATGATACATGCTTTACATAGGTATATCCCTCACAGGTAAGCGTCTTTCAGCTATTGTTTGACAGTGGATTTGGGTTAGGAAGTGAAAAGAATGGAATCAAAAAGATGTTAGCTTTGAAAAAGTTTTTATTTGCTTGGGTTGCACGAATTACATAATATCCAATACCACGTGCGAGTACGGATGGCTTATGTAGTGATCTAAGCATCATACTAGTATCTTGGTATAAGTTAGTATAGCTCGGCATTAATAACAATGATGCGTGATCCAAGTCCAAATCAAAGTCTAAAGAAATTGCCTAGAAATATAAAGGTGACTAGCCTAACATCGCGAGTCAGGGGATGCCATATAAAAGAGGTTCAAGTTAAAGATCGAAACGCATTAAATCATGGCGAGACTAATAGCGAATATCATTTAATATGTAGGGCACGTTTAAAAAATTAATACTCGTAAGTCCAATAGAGGTGACATCATCCCGTAATTAGTGTGTAAGGATTGTTCGATAGTTATCGGGTTCAGAATTAATGTATCTCTTTTCTCCCGTCAAGTTGAGTTTTGGGATGTCTTCGCAAACTATAACCCAGCACCATAGTCACTTGTATGTATGGTATTCGTTGCTTTAGTATTTCCTGTCAAATTTTTAACAATTCATATACAACAATAGTCACTGCCTACAATGATGAATGATACCTACTAAAGCAATATCAACAAGTCGCTACACTAGAGGGTACTTAAGTATGAATATGTTCCTGTCTTGCTAAAAAGAAGACAGGCCATATTTGAGGCCTAAATTATTTCATCGGGCTCTTGTAACTAGTTCTAATTAGTATAGTTATATATCCTCTAGTGTAGTAATAGTTAGACGGAAACGTACCTACGTCATTCTTTGTTTAGCCGGATAAACTGGAGCTATCATCTCCCTGTTGGAGGAAATGAAAGCTCGTAAAGCTGCATATGCGTAAAGAGACAAGTGATGCTAAGAAAACTTCCTAGGACTTACCTAGATACGCAGACGAACTTCTTTCCGAAGTACTAGCAGAAAAGGGGGAACCTGAAAAGGGGGAAGGGGGTTTGCTTGCAAGACAAGCCGTGCAACATATAAGTAGAGTAACACCCATTTCACGGGACGGGTTGCAGCATCGTGTCTCCTTCCTCTATTCTCGTATTTCCTTTTTTCCTTAATGAAAACATATAGTGTAAGTAGTGGGACTGTGTTTCCTTGACCATGAATACGAATGCAAAGCAGTTCAACTATTTTTCGCCATACTTGAAATCGGGAAATAACACCAAACCTAAACAGATTGGGTGCCTATCGAAAATCAGATTTTCCGCATCTCGAGAATAAGAGCAACCCTATTGCTCTACGAAGGTTTTGTATGTGGTGGTTCAAAGTCTCTTGGCACCTTTGTTGAAGATGACTCTAATGTAGAACTATAGGAAAGGCCGAATGATCTGCTCCTATGATACTAAGGTTTCGATCTCGAAGCACTTAAAAGAAAGGAAGCTTCATTCATCATTAATAAAGCAGTATTCCTGAGGGCAACAGAAGACTACTGACTCCTCTATTTTAAACTGCGTAAACTACCTAATATAATATTTCAATGATCACCTTGAAAGTGATTAATAATTGTCATCGCTGTCCTCGAGACAACTCTTAGTAAATTGTCAAGTAAAACTTTATTGTCCATCTAAACCTCGACTATCATAATACAACACCTATTTATAACATTGCCCCTGACGAGCCTTTAGTGGCAACATCTGCCGGCATTGAGTGGGTTTCGCTAAACGGGTAACATCTAAATCGCCCTGTTGCAATATCAACTTTTATGAAAGAAAAACGCTTCAGTTATTCAATGCTGGTATCTATAACATGTCATGCCACGTAAAATACAATCCGAGTTATTCATTATTAGAACATAAACCAACGACCTAAACGGAACACTCTACATTCCTGATTTATCGCCTAGCTTTCCTTCCGGCGTTGCAAACCCTCTGATATAGATGTTAGTATATACTAATTTCATGATATATAGGATCAGCACTTACCGCACGCCGCTCCGCGAAATCATTATAAAACCCGTTCCACAATTCTCTGGCTGAACAGTCCTCTTGGCCGTTCCTTGTCACGCATGCAGGCTGTTTGTCTTGTCGCATCGAATCAGACATCGGGATCCACGGCTTTGGCACGGGCCAGTCAGAGAAGTGAAGGAACTTTGCTTCGTTATAAATGGCAACAGGATCCCATTCTTCCCGGTCGGTACCCAAATAGTTCTCGTGGTTGTCCCCACGGAACTCACCCGTTAACAAGTCATAAGGACGATGCGGGAGAATCATAGCGCTGTCTGCGTATAGCTGGTTCACGATTTCCATATCGTAATCGTTGCGCCCGGCAGATTCCATCTTCTGCATGATCCTGTCGAACTCAACCGCGCTGGGCTGCACTAGCATCAACTGAGATGATAAAATCTTGTTGTCCGGAAATAGCCAGTAGGCACGAGGCATTGCAACAGGGCACGGTGGCATGAGGAATAGCTCGTCCATAGTCTGGAGAATAGTTGAATCCGAGTCGACGTTTAAGACACGGGTGTATTGAGTTTGATTGAATGCAAGAAGTTTGGTGAAAGATTCGGCCCAGGTAGCTTGAAACGATATTAGAAAAAGAGGAAATAGAATTGAGAACAGACACGGGCATGCTTACCATCAGCTCCGGCTCGTCGTTTGATCTCTACGGGCACTAACTTAACCTTGTACTCGTCCCGGGCCTTAGCGAGCAACTTGGCCTCTTCCGACGTTGGGTTCGTCTCGCCAGCGTCCATCATGTTCTCGGGATACATCATCACGCGATCAGCCTTGCTACCGAGGCGGGATAGAGTCTCGAAGATCATGACCGAGTTACACAGATATGCAGCGTTGGTGACATATTGCGTGTATGCGAATTGCGACCAGTTGACTTGCGCATCTTCGAATGCCGGTACGACCGCGGGAAGACAATTCGAATTAGAACCGGCGACGGCGGCACCACCGCTTCGCAAACTCTCGATAGATGGAAGACGATCGTAGTTTCGGAAGCCGAGTAGGAATATGCCGACGGCAGCGAGGGAAAAGGTAGCGTAGCGCACTCGCTTCGAACTCAAAATCTGACCGATGCTAGGTTTGAGATGTGAGTCGGTAGCAGAGCCTGGGGTTGTGTTCTGTTCGCCATTCTGAACGGCGCTATATCCAGATAGAGAGCCCCATGTAGAGGACCACGAGGAGCCCCAAAGCGGAGCCATATCGAAAGGTATTGTTCAAAGAGAGAGGTTAAGATTCGACGGTAGACGAAGGAGGAAGTTGAATCACTAAGGATTCGCCGAGAAAGGAATCAATACCAATAGGTAAGCGATGAAACAGCACTCATCGGGGAAACAAGGTACTTTGCAAGTAGAAAATAGGAGGGGATAAGTTAATAGGCATTTGCTATGTAATTTGACATCAAAACAATATCTACCTAACCTATCTACCCACAGTATACCGTAACGTAGATGGACTGGGGAGAAATCGGTGGTGGTGGTGATGGTGGTGATGTTTCCGACTTAGTTTTCCGAATAAGATTCCGAACAGGCTGAATCAAGATTATTGAGGATTATTGAGGTGATGGGCAATCGCATTGGAGGCGCCACTTACCTACCTCACTACAAAAGTACAATACTGCTACGTAGGGATGTATTGTACCACCTTAACTCGCCTACACGTGGCTTACATAGTACTTTACTGCGTACGTAAACTGCGTAGATATTGTACTGCCCTGCTGCTTCAGTGGGGGCCAATTATCAGGTACCTACATCCTTGTATGCAGCTATGCCGTTAATATCATCGCGCTAACTTTAAGGACACACTCTAATTTCCACTGTACCTACGTACCTAACGTATCTCTTTCAATTCCACCTTCGAGGTACAACATAAACGCGGATTGCGCGATAGCGGCTTCAGGTATTTTCTACTTAACACAATTCTATACTCTGCCTAGATTAGGTAGTTTCTCTATCACAACTTTCAATTGGCTGAAAGAATACTCGAGATCATCAACCTGATACGATCCCATCTTCAAGGGCGTCGATTGCCATAAATATATTCTGCAATACGGATTAGAGTCTCGACCGCTGCAAGGATTCAGCTATAAGGGTGGCAGCTAACCCAAGATGCGTTCTGCAGAATTCACCTACAGCTCGAGACTCATAATATGAAACCTGGAAGCGTCGCACTATGCTCGCAGTCTCAATCGAAAATTGGTGGCCGGATCTTGGCATTTTCAAAGAGGTTCAAAAATGCCAAGATCCGGCCACCAATTTTCGATTGAGACTGGCTCGTAGAGCTTTTTCTGCCTGACCTGGTGTCAACCTCCATGATCGACGACCTGGCTGCTATTAGACGATCGGCTCCGAGTCCCTGACGGACCCTTCGGTTGATCGCTGCTCGTTTAGCACCTAAGTAGTAACCAGGCTACCGAGCTACGAAGCTACCAATCACGCTACGATGGCATATGATAGCACGTCTCTGGGGTCTCATATACATGAGCTTCACGAAGAATATTCTTAGTAAGCTTCATGGGGTATTATTCATGGTGGAGATGATAGGTATTCAGCTTGGTATATTTTTAGCCCCCAAATGGTCAGAGCCTACTTTACAACACTCAAGACTCTACTGAACCTATCTGGTATAGGGGAAAGAAGACATAGGATACAGCGATATGGGCTAATTCCTCTTCGCTACTGAGCTGGTCTATGGATTAAATAAGATCACAAACTCATGCTGTAACCGCGCAGAGTCGAATTACCACAGTACAGATCACAGAGTGGCTCCACGACATCAACCTTATCTCTCCCACTTCAGCCTTGGAATCTTAATTCTTGAGATGAGAAAATCCCAGGGGCGACCCATCCACAGCAGCAAAGGGGCGCAGACTGCTGGCTGATTCCATCAAACGGGAAGCTGATGCAACTCTTAACTAAATTCGGCTCGAGGTCTCTAGCATTCAGATCCTTCAAAGCCTTTCTAATGGTATGTACTATGTAAAAATAGTGGGACGCGACCCTGGCAAGTCTCACGATCCACCTCCTCATCTCCTTGTCTGCTTGAATATTCCTGGGTAGGACTTGTCTTGGCCTAGATACCTAGCATAGCGGCAGCTTTCCGTAAGCGCTCAATAGATCCTATAGAGTATACCTGCTGAAATACATGTACTGTACTTCTCGTATGGATCATACAAGGCGGACTCTGTCCCCAGTCGAGCGTTCTTCGGGCTGGTATAGCGATGATCCCATCCCATCCGCTCTCTACTCACATTCTTTCTTCAATGTCAGTGTTTTTTTCTTTTTTTAATTCTCCTCTTTGATAGCAACGTCGAGTGCCGTCTTGGACCAAGCCGCAGAATAGTGCGTCGTCTATACCGCACTTTGTGTGTGCTTTAAGTCATGGCCCCTACACGGTCTTTACCCGTATCCTTTCTTTTCTATTTAGCGGTCTTTGGACTCGTCAAGGCAGACACAAAGCCTATCGCGGCGACATGGTCCAGCTCGACGTTTGGACCTGATGGTCCTTGGCCGGCGATTGAGGTGACAATGGGTAGCGAACAGAAGATATCGCTGTACCCAGGGCGGGAATTTCAAACCTTTCTTCTAACAAGCGATTACTGCAATCACAATACGACGATTCCGTGTTATGCTAACCAAGCTGGACTCTACAACGATGCTCAGTCGCAGGTGGATACTACGGGGTCAACGGGGTCGATTCAATATCAGTCAAATCCAGACTATATGCAAGGTGTAGAAGTGCTAGGCGATTTGACGAAGTCGTGGGTCGACTCGATGGAATTTGGAGGTACGACGATAGAGAACGTCTCGTTGTCTTTGTTGAGCGAGTCATATATGGCTTACCCAAATGGTCAGTGGTATCCGTTGACGGTAGGCTGCTTGGGGATAGGAGCCCCGGCAACAATTAACCAGTCCTTCTCCAACGACTATGGACCGCTCATTAATGCGAGTCTCGCCCCTGGATATTTATGGTCTCACAACACTATCGCATCCAACTCTTTCGGCATGCATATAGGATCCGCAAACCCCCGGATGTCGGGATCGTTTTACTTTGGCGGTTACGATCAGAACCGTATCGTGGGGGATATTCTTACGTATTCTGACGACATTACGAAAGATATCACCTTGAGAGACATCAGTATCAAAGTGATAGATGGTTCTTCGCCATGGAAATTTGAATCTTTGGACGGCCTCCTCGCAGCCGACAACTCATCTATCACTTCTGGAGGTGTCCAAGTCTCTGTCGATGGTTGTTCTCCTTACCTATCGCTACCCAAGTCGACATGCGATGCTATTGCGAAGAATTTGCCTGTGACGTATAATGAGGACCTCGGTTTATATTTCTGGAATACCGACGAGCCGAAATATACGCAAATTGTTAACTCGGCCTCTGTCTTGGAGTTCGTTTTTATAGGCGACTCGAACACAAAGAACGTTTCCATCTCTGTTCCCTTTCGGCATTTAAACCTCACGCTGACAGCCCCATTGATCGACAAATCAACGCAATATTTCCCGTGCTATACAGGTCCTGCCAAGATCTACACTCTTGGCCGTGCTTTTCTCCAAGATGCGTTTGTTGGTGCGAATTGGGGTACCAAATCGTGGTGGCTCGCCCAAGCACCTGGTCCTAACATACCAGCTCCCTCTGTTGTTGAGCTTGCGGACAGCGATTCGATCAAGGCTAGCTCAAACGACTGGAAAGAATCGTGGTCAGGATCCTGGACAGCTCTTAAGCCTAGCGATGTAGAAAGCTCGGCCACCGTGAGCCCTCCTACCGCAACTAACGCAGCCTCCCAAGAAACTGCTTCCCCAGCGGCTGGTCTTTCGACAGGAGCCAAGGCTGCCATCGGGGTATGTGTTGGCGTCGCAGGCTTAGCACTGATCGCTGCCCTTGCCTTCTTTTTCCTACGCCGTCGCAAGGCACCTGCTCCCGAAGGCCCGGTCCCTAATGCAACATATACGGCTCATAATAACCCTGAGCAAGGATACTACGCGCCTGTCAAAAATCCCAGCTCGCCGGGCGTGTCAGAGATGTCTTCAGGCACTCTAGTGCAACCGCCAAACATGGCAATGTATAATCAGCAGTACTCCCAGCAATACCCGCAACAATATCCTCCCCAACCATATCTCCAGCAATATCCCCAGCAGTACCCTCAACAATATTTACAACCATACGGGCAGCCTTACAGCACCGAACTTCCTGCTGTCGGCAATACACCAACAGAGCTGCCTGGGTCAGCGACGTACGCTCCACAGCTACTTGATGGGACTCAAGTTTACGGTCAGACATCGCCGCTTCAAAATCACGCGCCGCCGCAATCGCCACATTCGCCGGGCCACGGCGCAAACCAACCACCTACGCAGGAACAGCATGGACAAATATGATACTAATCTCATCTTGCGGGGGCTAGAGATTGGGAAAGTGGGAAATAGACTTGGGCATAAAATTTTTATTTGACACTGAAAATCTGCGTTACATGGTTCTAATATTCTAGGAATTTTCTTCTTTTTTATCCTGGAGTTGCATACGATCTGTGCATAAATACGCGTGTCAGATTTTGGGATAGGCAATGAGCGGCCATTGATACCATTTGGTTGAACGGGTTTCTGATATGATGAAATATCACAGTAATGGCAATTATTTCAAGATGAAATAGCACACGTGCGTATATATACGAATACTACTACCTATGTAAATTCTACCATGTACTATTTTTGTTTTATTAACTAAGGTCAAGAATACCATGTAAATAAGCGCCCGGCGTCTATTTGTACTGTACATAGGCTGGTTGATGAACTCGGACTCTACCCACTTGTGGGGTTCGCGGCCACCATAGCCTGTCAGCCATACGGGATGGGGTTGGACTTCGATGCGTTACCGGTCTGCTATGCTGCCGTGTCACGGTACCTTTCGCAGGATAAGCCTCTTTTTGTCCATCAGTCCATGTAGAGATTACACAGATTGTCTGAGTGCCTGTCTCGGAGTAAGCCACAATCTCCTTTCTTATGCCGCCTTCGGGTTCATCTGTGTACCACGTAAGATTCTTAATAACCCATTAGAACGCGGAGGTCCTGCGCAATTAAATCGATTCTTACGCGAGACGCTAAAAGAAAAGAAAGGCTCCTTTTACTACTAGGTACGCTATGTGCCAAGATATGTGATACTGCTGCTTGCTACGATAGCTATCTAGTATCCATATACGGAATACATGTTATTACGGACAAATTGTCGGGTTTATTCATTACCTACTAGATTGACAGCTTGTTCTACATGCGGAAGAAAACGACTTTAACTCCATTAGAGTTCCGAGATCCCTACACAAACACAGCACGGTACAAGTACAGTACTAGACCTAAATCAGACATCGAGATCTTCCTGAGGGGTTGTCATAGCTTGGCGGTCAGTCTGTCAGTCAGCAAAGTACATAAAATAGACGAAACGACAGCGTTGCCTCGATGCTACTTTAGACCCGAACATACCTGATCGGGTAATAATTGTCCATTATTCAGGGGTCAGGAATCAATATTCCTTGCCCGGAGCTGAAAACCTGCTGTCCAATAGGAGACGAACATGCTAGAGCAACAGCAACATGCCGTTTGAAGTCCACGTCTGGATATTAACGCGACGGTGACTCCGATTGATGTCATATGGATTAAGCTCTATGTAGGCTGGACTAACTGTAAGAGAGGAATTAAGAATTCTCTCTCAAAGATTTACGCAGTATTGCTACCCTAATTCTGGCCTACCACCCGGGCCAAACTATGCTAGACTTAATCTATCTATTAATATGACAAGTCGACGGAGGGAAACCTTGACATCCGTTAAATAGATATGAGTATTAGGTATGAGCACTTAGTTCATGTCTACTTCGAAATACGGCGTTAGTAAGAACCCCGAGCGTGTTGCAGTACCTGTGGGATAATCAGTTATTGAAGACTATCCGGGAGAAATGGATATAGTGGACGGAGTAGAGTGATCATATAAATTTGATGTGCAAGCTAATCCCTACGTCTTTATTTAGACTTATTTAGACTTACACGTGGGTGACAAGGTGATTCCTACTACGATATCATAAGACCTGATGGCAAGCTTCAAGCTTTAGGATAGTCGTGATACCATCGACAATGTGACACTAGAGGGCCATTAAATAGTTAGAAGCGGCTCTCCGGACTCCCGTCATATCCTCATCACATACCTACACACCGACATGACCCCGTCATCTAAACGCCACATATGGAGTCCTAGAGAGGGTATCTCTTAAAACCAGGTGGCCGAAAACACGTGTCGACTCCATAGATGCTCCTGTTTAATGATCATCTAGAGGTCCAAGATAATCTAAAAAGAATTTCCTCAAACTCCACGAGGACAGGTGTCAAGAGCCAGACACCGCTAGACTTTCCGTTTGGGAGGGATTTTACCAAGATACACTATGCACAGAAATTTACTCTTCCTCGCGGTCCTCGGGGCTGTATCGTCGACTGGCCTTGCTGCTTCGGAGCCGGTGGTTGACGTGAATCACATCATCGTCCGATAGGATACCACGATTATCATTACTGATAGCCCCACTGGCGGCTCATCAACCAACGCGTCATCATCTTCTTCTTCTACCGATTACTCTACTTCATCATCAACCGACTCTACTTTATCATACTCGATGTCTTCCTCTTCCTCAATATCATCATCTGACTCGATGTCATCTACGTCATCTTCCGACTCGAGCTCCCCTTCCTCAACTAGCATGGGTATGATTACGTCTAGCGATTCCTCGGAAAGCTCGCCTACAGCCACCGGGGCAGGACCAAGGATCACAGGGGCACCTGCGGTATTGTTGCCGCTGGGGTAGCAGTTGTGGTTATGGTCTAATTGGGAGCGTGGAACGGGTGATAAGATCAGGCATCCGCTGTGAAGAGACGAGCTTTTGTTTACGGTGTGCTACCTAATGGGTGTATGTGAATAAGAACAGAAAAACAGAATAGGGGCAACTATGTTATAACCTATTAGTGTCAGGGTTCTAGATGAGACATTTAAGACAAAGAATATATATATATATATAAACCATAAGTTCGCCAAATAGGTTAAAACTCCTCGTAAAATAATAAAGTTATTTTTATATTATTTAGTTTTACTTTATAACAGTTTATTCCGTTATTTAAAAAAATTTTAAAAATATAAATAAAAAAAACGAAAAATAAAAAATTTAATTTTTATTTAAAAAAAAATATTACTTATTATAAATTATTAATTATTAATTATCTTTTTTAATTATTAATTTTTAAAAAACGAATATAATTTTTAATTATTTTTATTAAATTAATAATATTAAGGTTTTTATATAAATACGTATTTAAATAATAATGAAATATAATAATAAAACGATTAATTAATTAAATTTTAATTGTGTAATTAATTAAATAAAAAAAGATTTATAAATTATAAAAAGAATTTTTTTTATTTAATTATAAATGGGGCACGGCCCCATTAGCCTTACCTTTAATGCACGTGTCACGCGAACACGTGATTATTATTTTAACAATTTTTATTAATTATTTAAATTTATATTATTTATTATTCGGTTTTATTATTTATATAAATTTTTTAATTATTTAATTATTATTATTATATAAATATATTATTAAAATTATATAAAATAAAAAATATTATAATATATTATTAAAATTAACGTTTAATTATAATTAATTAATTTTTTTAAATAAAAAATAATAAATAATATATTATAATAAATTATATAATTATTATTTTTTATTATTAAAAAAATTTTAAATTATTTTTAATTTATTTATTATAAAAAAAAAAAATAAATTAAAAATATAAAAATATAAAAATTTTATTATTTATAATAAATTTTTTTTTATATTTATTATTTTACTTATTTATTTTATAAAATATATATTTATATTATTTAATAATAATTTAATATTATTTAATATATATAATTTTTTAAAATAATTAATTTTATATATTATTTTATATTTTTTAAATTTATATATTTTATTTATTTTTATTATATTTATATTAAATTTTAATAATAGTTAAAATATTAATAAAAAAATTATTATAAAATAATTTTTTAAAAATAATTAATTTAAGATTTTTTTAATATTATAAAAATAAAATAAAAAAAGGAATTTTATTTTTTATTTAATATATTAAAAGATAAATTTATATTAAATATTTATATTATTATATTAATTAATATAATTTTTAAAGATATATTTAATTTTTTTAATTAAATATATATTTATATTTTAAACGTTATAAAAATATTAAAAAAAAAATTTTAATTAATAAAATATAAAAATATAATTATTTTATAATAAATAATAAAATATTAAAATAAATTAAAAATTTAAAAATAATATATTTAAATAATTAAAAATAAAATTAATAAAATTAAAGATTTTATTAAATTTATAAATAATAAAAAAAATATAAAAAAAAAATAAATTTTATTTTAAATTTAAAAATTAAATATATAATTTAAATTAATTATAAAAAAAAATATTTATAAAATAAAATATAATAAAATCTTTTATATAATTTTTTAATTAAAAAATTTTATATAAATATAAATTTAATTATATTTTAAAATAATTTTTTAATTTTTTAAAATAAAGGAAATATAAATATAAGATTTATTAATATTATTATTTAAATTTTTAAAAAAAATATATAATATTATAAATAAAATTATATAAATATTTAAAAAAATAGATTTTTTATATTAAAAAAATTTCCCGTTTAATATATTTTTTATAAAATTTATATATATTTTAAATAATTTAAAAATAAATAAATATATTAAAATTAATTAAATTAAATTTAAAATAAATAAAAAATTTTAAAATATAATAATTAATATATATTTAAAATTTTTTAATAATAACTTTAATAATTAAATAGATATATTTTATTTATTTTTTAAAAACTTTATAAATTTAAAATATAATAAAACTTTAAATAAATTTAAATTAAAATATTTTTTTAATTTTTTTTTATTTTAAAATAATTATAATAATATTATTATTTATTTAATAATAAAATTTTTAATAAATATAAATATAAATAATTTTATTAATAACTTAAATAATTTAATTATTAAAAAATTATTAATATAAAAATAATAATAAAAATTAAATAATAATTTTTATTTTTATTATAAATAATTAAATTATATAAAATAAAAATATTTTAAAGGTATTAAAAATAATTAAATTTAATTTTAAAAAATATTTTATTTAAAAAATTAATTAACCTTTAAATTAAATTTCTTTAATAGTTATAATAATAACGTTATAAATTACTTTTATAATTAAAGTTTTAAATTAAATTTTACTTTTAAATAATAAAATATTAATAATTATTTAAATAATAATTACTTTAATAATTATTTAAATATTAATAATTTTTTTTAATAAAATATAAATTTTTATTTATAAAAATTTTAAAAATAAATTATTTTTAATAAAAAAGTTATATAATATAATATTAATAATAATTATAATAGTAAAATTATAAAATTTTTTAATAATAATAAATATAATAATAATTTAAAA